AGAAAACTTCCTAACATCTCTGTGACTCATCTGAGTTTCCAGTTTCCACCCATGTCCCCTCGTTCTGTTATTATTACGTGTGAACATTTCATCTATTTCCACTTTGTCAATTCCCCTGAGTATTTTATATGTCCCTATCATATCTCCTCTCTCCCTTCTTTTCTCTAGTGTCGTAAGGTTCAGTTCCTTCAGACGCTCTTCATATCCCATCCCTCGTATCTCTGGGACAAGCCTCGTCGCAAACCTCTGACCCTTCTCGAGTTTCTTTATGTGTTTCTTCAGGTGGGGGCTCCATGATGGACGGCATACTCTAAGACGGGTCTCACGTAGGCAGTGTAAAGCGCCCTAAAAGCCTCCTCATTTAGGTTTCTGAATGAAGTTCTAATTTTCGCCAGTGTAGAGTACGCTGCTGTCGTTATCCTATTTATATGTGCCTCAGGAGTTAGATTAGGTGTCACATCCACTCCCAGGTCTCTTTTTCGAATCGTTACAGGAAGGCTGTTCCTCTTCATTGTGTACTGTCCCTTTGGTCTCCTGTCACCTGATCCCTTTTCCATAACTTTACATTTACTGGTGTTAAACTCCAGTAGCCATTTCCCTGACCATCTCTGCAACCTGTTTAAGTCCTCTTGGAGGATCCTACAATCCTCGTCTGTTACAACTCTTCTCATTAATTTTGCGTCATCCGCAAACATTGACATGTATGATTCCACTCCTGTAAACATATCATTTACGTAAATTAGAAAGAGGATTGGTCCCAGCACCGATCCTTGAGGTACTCCACTTGTTACTGTTCGCCAGTCCGACTTCTCGCCCCTTACCATTACCCTCTGGCTCCTTCCTGTTAGGTAGTTCTTCACCCATACTAGGGCCTTTCCGCTTACTCCTGCCTGCCTCTCAAGTTTGTATAGCAGTCTCATGTGCGGTACTGTATCAAAGGCCTTTTGGCAGTCAAGAAATATGCAGTCTGCCCAGCCTTCTCTGTCCTGCCTTATCCTTGTTACTTTATCATAGAATTCTAAAAGGTTTGTTAGGCATGATTTCCCTGTCCAGAACCCATGTTGGTGCTTGTTTACAAACCCAATGCTCTCCAGGTGCTCAACAAGTCTTAGCCTAATTATTCTTTCAAGTATTTTGCAGGGGATGCTTGTCAGTGATACGGGTCTGTAGTTAAGTGCCTCCTCCCTATCACCTTTCTTGAAAATCGGTACGACATTTGCCTCCTTCCAGCAACTGGGCAATTCTCCCGACATAAGTGACTCATTAAAGATCATTGCCAGAGGCACGCCGAGAGCCTGCGCTGCCTCTTTAAGTATCCACGGTGATACTTTGTCTGGTCCAACAGCTTTATTTGCATCCAGTGTTGTCAACTGTTTCATTACCTCCTCTGCTGTCACCTCTATATCTGATAGTCTTTCATCTAGGGTAATCGCTTCTAACAATGGGAGCTGCTCAGGCTCGGTTGTGAACACTCCATGGAATTTTGCATTCAGTACCTCGCAGATTTCCTTGTCGCTTTCTGTATATGCCCCTTCTGTTTTCCTCAGTCTTGTCACTTGGTCATTTACCGACATCTTCCTTCTTATATGGCTATGTAGTAATTTAGGTTGCTTTTTCGCTTTGACTGCAATATCATTCTCATAATTTCTTTCCGACACTCGTCTTATGTTAATGTAATCATTCCTAGCTCTGTTACATCTAATCCTGTTGTCCTCTGTCCTTTGTCTTCTGTACTTCCTCCACTCTCTCCTGCTTCTCACCTTTGCTTCCTGACACTATCTATTAAACCATGGGTTATTATATTCCCTCCTGCTTTTTTCCTTTATTGTTGGAATAAATCTCTCTTCAGCCTCCTTGCATTTCAATATGACTTGGTTCATCATTCCTTGCACTGTTTTTCCTCTAAGTTCTTCCTCCCACTGCACTTCTCCCAGGTAGTCCCTTATCCTTCTGTAGTCCCCTTTTCTGTAATCAAGTCTCCTTTCCCGGACCTCTTGTCCTTTGGTCACAGTTTTAAGCTCCATCATGTAGTCAAAGACTAGGACACAATGGTCACTAGCTCCTAGTGGTATTTCATGTTCCAACTGCTCGATGTCTTCTACATTCTGGGTGAAAATGAGATCTAATAGGCTGGGCGTATCCCCTCCTCTTTCCCTAGTATCTTCTTTCACATGCTGTGTTAGGAAATTCCTGTCAATAACGTCTACCAGCTTCGCTCCCCAGGTTTCCTCCCCGCCATGGGGATTCCTCGTTTCCCAATCTATCTCTCCGTGATTTAGGTCCCCCATAAACAGCAGCTTCGCTCTCATTCTATGCGCTATAGTTGCTGCCCTCTGCAGTTCATCTATACATGTCTTGTTGCTGTCCCCGTACTCCTGCCTGGGCCTCCTACTGTTTGGTGGGGGATTGTAGAGTATCAAGATGACAATCTTCTTCCCATCCACTGTCAGAGTTCCATGTATGAAGCTTGTGCTTTCATTGGTACCCGGATTTTCCAGCTCATCAAACTTCCATTTCCGCTTTATTAGGAGTGCCACTCCTCCTCCCTGTCTCTGTGTCCTTTCTTTTCTTATCACCTGGTACCCCTCTGGAAAGATTGCATCCGAGATCATGCCATTTATTTTAGTTTCCACTATTGCCACTATGTCTGGGTCTGCCTCACTAACTCTTTCTTTTATCTCTTCTGCTTTATTGGCTACCCCATCAGCATTGGTGTACCAAACCTTGAGACTCTTCTTGGAAACTTGGGTGTCAGTTTCCGAGTCAAGGTGGAAACTCGGGTGTGTGTGTGTGTGTGTGTGTGTGTGTGTGTGTGTGTGTGTGTGTGTGTGTGTGTGTGTGTGTGTGTGTGTGTGTGTGTGTGTGTGTGTGTATATGTGTGTGTGTGTGTGTGTGTGTGTGTGTGTGTATGTGTTTGGAGGGTACAATCATCTTAATGTATCATTTGTTCTTTTGATTGTGACAATTATGCTTCCGTTACATCTCCCTTCCTAAAAAAAAAAAATTGGAGTGGCCAATTTCATCGATCCAATTTCCAGTATTTGAGTGTTTAATACCACAAGCCGCACCGATGCTGTCATTAACGAGCCTCATTGATCGCTTCGGGGAGTAGTTAATAATATGAGCTTCAGTAAGAGCCTTAAGTGTTCAGTGGAACAATGAATTTGATTACTTGTTCACGATTAGTTTAAGAGTGTTTTTTTTTTTAGAGCATTTAATTCTTTCATAACGAACTTGACAGTACTGTTTCCAGTCCTACTGTTTCCAGTCCTACTGTTTCCAGTCCTACTGTTGTCAGTCCTACTGTGGCCAGTCCTACTGTTTCCAGTCCTACTGTTTCCAGTCCTACTGTTGTCAGTCCTACTGTGGCCAGTCCTACTGTTTCCAGTCCTACTGTTTCCAGTCCTACTGTTGTCAGTCCTACTGTGGCCAGTCCTACTGTTTCCAGTCCTACTGTTTCCAGTCCTACTGTTGTCAGTCCTACTGTGGCCAGTCCTACTGTTTCCAGTCCTACTGTTTCCAGTCCTACTGTTGTCAGTCCTACTGTGGCCAGTCCTACTGTTTCCAGTCCTACTGTTTCCAGTCCTACTGTTTCCAGTCCTACTGTGGCCAGTCCTACTGTTACCAGTCCTACTGTTTCCAGTCCTACTGTTTCCAGTCCTACTGTGGCCAGTCCTACTGTTACCAGTCCTACTGTTTCCAGTCCTACTGTTTCCAGTCCTACTGTTGTCAGTCCTATTGTTTCCAGTCCTACTGTTGCCAGTCCTACTGTTTAATCTACTGTTGAATGTACTGGTAATTTTATCCCTGTCTCCTACACTATACATCAGGCATCGGTAGATTAACATTATTATAATGAATGTTAACACCAACCTAACAAATACGGTGTTAACACCAACGCATCACACATATAATTATAATTTAACATCATAGTGTTAGCAGGTACAAATTTAACACGAAAACTTTGGACGAGTAACTCAGTTGTGTGTCTCTCTCCCTCCCTCTCTCTCTCTCTCCACCACGACAGGAGAGGCGGGAGTGACCACAGTGTTGGAGATGGTGGTGATGGTGACGGTGGTGGTGGTGGTGACGATGGTGGTGATGGTGGAGGCGTATCAACACCCGTATCTGAGTTATGGTGAGTTAGTGTGGTTGATGGTGGCCAGTCTCTGGGGTGGTGGAAGTGTGGGTTGTGGTCATTGTTATCTTACTTTATCTCACTTTCTGTCTTGCTATCTTACTTTATCTCACTTTCTCTCTTATTATTTTACGTTATCTCACTTTCTCTCTTATTATTTTACGTTATCTCACTTTCTCTCTTATTATTTTACGTTATCTCACTTTCTCTCTTATTATTTTACGTTATCTCACTTTCTCTCTTATTATTTTACGTTATCTCACTTTCTCTCTTATTATTTTACGTTATCTCACTTTCTCTCTTATTATTTTACGTTATCTCACTTCCTCTCTTACTTTATCTCACTTCCTCTGCGCCTATAATTTATATGTTAAACATTGAAAGCAGAGTTTGAAAGACGCGCAGGAATGCAATTTGAAATCATTTTGAAATAGTGTGATAGAAATGTACGTGTTTAAATCTTTGACTTCAGAGGGCGCTTCCCTGCCTCCCCCTGTCTCACTCCTGGGGGACAGGCAGACAGGGGTGACGACCGAGTCAGATTCACCAAGCAGTTACGCAAGTACTTACGAACCTGTACGTCTTTTCTCAATCTTTGGCGGCTTTGTTTACAATTAATAAACAGTTAATGAGCTCCGAAGCACCAGGCGGCTGTTCTATAACAATAACACCAGTTGATCGGGAAGTTTTCATGCTTGTAGACTGTTTAATAAATGTAACCAAAGCCGTCAAAGATTGAGATGTATACGGTCGTAAGTACTAGCGTAACTGCTTCGTGAATCTGGGCCGAGCTCGGAGGTTATGTTTTGGGTCTCATGACGGGGATGGTCACTCTTGCAGGCGAGGAAGGAGGATCGGAGGGCGGCCTGCGGATGGTGAGTGTGTACGGCCTGCACACGGAGGCGCCGCCCTGGGTGACGCTGACGTGGGTGCAGCGGGAGGTGAGGTTCCCAGGCGTCGTCACCCACCTCACCGTCTGCCTCCATACGCGCCTTCTCTTCCTCTACACCGACCCCGCCATACTGCTCAGGGTTGATGGCACACATTTTGCCGCTGGTGAGGCTAGTCTCTCTCTCTCTCTCTCTCTCTCTCTCTCTCTCTCTCTCTCTCTCTCTCTCTCTCTCTCTCTCTCTCTCTCTGAAATGCAAGCAAGAGCTGTTATCATACCTCAGCTCAAGCCTGCCTCCAGAAGCATTCATTTCATGAGACTGTTTATTTGAATCATTAGGAATAAACTTGATTTATATCTAAATAGAAATCATATAAGCAACAGCATGAGCCCGTAGCCAACCGTGTCCCAGAAGGAATAAACTCTGTGTCTGTCTGTCTGTCTGTCTGTCTGTCTGTCTGTCTGTCTGTCTGTCTGTCTGTCTCTCTCTCTCTCTCTCTCTCTCTCTCTCTCTCTCTCTCTCTCTCTCTCTCTCTCTCTCTCTCTCTCTCTCTGACTATATCAGTATTTTCTTTGAAGGACATCAATGCTAATCTGCTTGAACACTAGATTCGGTTTATATACCGCAAGGCCTTTCGTTACCACATTTCCCCCGGTGAATGTTTCTCTGCCCTTCAGTATACGAGGGCAACTACGCTCTCTTCAACGCCAAGTACTTCTGGTGGACGCAGAAGGTGGCCAAGCTGCGCAAGTGGCGCCACCTGTGTTTCCTGATGGGGGAGGAGGCGGGCGTTGGCGTCGAGGGCCGCTACCTCCCCGGCGCTCGCCAGGGCGACCAGGGACACCCTCCTCCCTTCGTCGTGAGTAGGGGTGACGGGGGAGGGGTGAGGGAGAGAGATGAGTGCTTGCCTAATAGTGTCTGTGAGGGAGTGAGGTCCCTAATAGTGTCTGTGAGGGAGTGAGGTCTCTAATAGTGTCTGTGAGGGAGTGAGGTCTCTCCCCCCATGATTGAATTCGTCGCTTCATTAGTCCATATGGAACCCCCCACCCTGTGACCAGGTCCTCTCTATCGTTCACTGGATGGGTCTGTTATGCATGATAACTAATGTAAACTGTGTTGATAGCAAGATATCCTTACTGCCTTTCCTTGAGTAAGTTATCCTTCCCGCCTTAAGTCTAGTTGGTAATGACCAACCCGTCCTCTTAAAAATGACGTCACTTTTCGCTCGTATGCGCGGCTATGGCCAAATTTGGACGTAATTTGAAATGAAATCGACTCACAAAAGTGACGTACTGTTCCGTTTTCTGTTTGAGGCGTCATTACCTCTCATTCTAATGTGTTCCCTGATATGTTTGTTGGCTGAAAACGTTTCTTGTCGCAAGATCCAATAGTTTAGCTTCCCGTGTTTCTGTGCCTCTGTGAAATTCCATAATTGAAGTCTCCCATTATTAGAAGTCTAGACTCATTCCTACATGCGACAGCTGTCTTTTCTATTCAAGTAATAACTTCCATGTAGTTACTGTCATACTCCTGTCTGAATCTTCTGTCAGGGGTGTAGGTGACAGGATAGCAAGTGACTATGACTAGGACTACGAATCCCGAGCGCTGTCCACTCAGCCGTCAGACCCCCGTTTGTGGGTATGTGTGTGTGTGTGTGTGAGCAAGTGCGTGTGATAATGTTAAAATATAAAGCATTCTTTTACATACTTTTAATCTCTCAATCACCAACTAGCATCCACCAACAGTCACTAGGACCTGCTACCATCAACTAGCATCCACCAACACTTAATAGGACCAGCTAACATCCACCAACACTCACTAGGACCTGCTACCACCAACTAGAATCCACCAACACTGACTAGGACCTGCTAGCATCCACCAACACTCACTAGGACCTGCTACCACCAACTAGAATCCACCAACACTGACTAGGACCTGCTAGCATCCACCAACACTCACTAGGACCTGCTACCACCAACTAGAATCCACCAACACTGACTAGGACCTGCTAGCATCCACCAACACTCACTAGGACCTGCTACCACCAACTAGAATCCACCAACACTGACTAGGACCTGCTAGCATCCACCAACACTCACTAGGACCTGCTACCACCAACTAGAATCCACCAACACTTACTAGGACCAACTAACATCCACCAACACTTACTAGGACCAACTAGCATCCACCAACACTCACTGGGACCTACTACCACCAACTAGCATCCACCAACAGTCACTAGGACTAACGTCAACCATTACCAACAGCAACATCAACCAATCTCCTTCATAACAACCAGTGCAAGCATCAGTAACCACTATCACCACCACCACCCTCCTGTACACAGGGGTCGCGGAACCTGACACTGGGGGTCCCTGTGGGCCTGACCGACCTCACCACCATGGGCCCCGTCGGCGCCTTCTACACCCTGCCTCGCGTCTTCTTCAGGAAGCTCTCGGAGGAAGAGGTAAGCGCCCCCTGAAAGATTCTTTTAATGACTACGAAAACCCACCATTATCATCCCCATACAACTACCACCATCTCCACCCCCACCACAACAACCATCACCTTCACCACCAACAAGAATCGTCACCACCTCCACCATCATTATAGTCATTCACTGAAATCAACACCACCATCACCACTATTTATACACCACTAACAAGCATCACTTACCACCACAATCACCACCAGCACTACCACCACAACGGTCTCTCACCTCAGCTGCTGACTCTGGCGACCTGCTCCGGGGTCCCTGAAGGCGAGGTGCTGTCTAGCGACGAGGGAGACGGGGAAGTGTGGCGAGTCATCTCTACGGACGGAGTCGAGGCTGACACCCGCCGCCACCAGCAGGAGCACCACCAGCACCAGCAGGAGCACCACCAGCACCAGCAGGAGCACCACCACCTGCAGCAGGAGCAGCCTCCCAGCAGCACTGGGGGAGCCACCATACAACGAAAGTCATCCGGTGTCGACTCCTACGATCATGGAGAGAATCTTACAGGGTAAAAACAACGCCTTTGTTCAGGAGGGTAGAAATAGCCTAAGCTTCTCTATCCCTTTGAGATCTATTTTATTGTCTCAATAAACGTACTTGAACCACTGTTCATAATGTGTGTATTTACTATTTGTATTTACTATTTGTGTCTGCAGAATCGAGCTATTAGCTCTTGGGCCCCGCCTTTCTAACCAATCTATTTTCCTCTGTTATATCTACTGCATATTTTTCTCTCTAAAATACACACACACACTCATCCCCAGGAAATAGCCCGTAGCAGCTGTCTAACTCCCAGGTACCTATTTACTGCTAGGTGAACGGAAGCATCAGGGTGAAAGGAAACTCTGCCCATTTGTCTGTTCTGCCTCGGCCGGGGATCGATCCCCGGACCCTAGGACTACGAATTCCGAGCGCTGTCCACTCAGCCGTCAGGCTCCTGTGTGTGTGTGTGTGTGTGTACTCACCTAGTTGTGTTTGCGGGGGTTGAGCTCTGGCTCTTTGGTCCCGCCTCTCAACTGTCAATCAACTGATGTACAGATTCCTGAGCCTATTGGGCTCTATCATATCTACACTTGAAACTGTGTATAGAGTCAGCCTCCACCACATCACTGTCTAATGCATTCCATCTGTTAACTACTCTAACACTGAAAAAGTTATTTCTAACGTCCCTGTGGCTCATTTGGGTACTCAGTTTCCACCTGTGTTCCCTTGTTCGTGTTCCACCCGTGTTGAATAGTTTATCCTTGTCTACCTGGTCGATTCCCCCTGAGGATTTTGTAAGTAGTGATCATGTCTCCCCTTACTGTTTGTGTGTGTGCGTGTGTGTATAACTTGTGCCACAGCTGTAAGCTCGTATTCATTCGAACACTTGAGTTTAACGCAATTCTCTGTAACAAACACAGAACGAATTCAATCTTGCAAGAAATCCGCAAACGCTGACTTTGGACCCAAGTTCGGAATGTTGCAAATCTTCTGCAGTCTTCCTAATGTCCCTTAAAGTATTGTAATTAGCCCTAAATAACCACTTTATCTCCCGTGGGCAATTATATAGTATCATACATAATTATAGAATATAATTAGATACAACCCACGCATAAAATAAAGGAATTGACGACGTTTAATCAGCGTTGAATGAACGTTGATGTTGAATCAACATTGATGGCGTTGAATCAAAAGTTGATGATGTTGAATCAGCTGACATTTTATTTTACTGTTAAGAATTTAATTTTATAATTTAGCCCATGTTTTAGTGACAAAAAAAAACAAAAAAACTATATATAGCATTAGGCTATGCTAGTTCTGTTAGATAAGAGAAGCTCAAATGCCGAAAGTTGTAGTAATAATAATAATAATAATAATAATAATAATAATAACAATAATAATAATAATAATAATACCAATAATTGACGGTTTCATAAATGAATCGCTTTGCATCTGCAGACACTCTCCATGGCTGACGTCTGACGAGGGGCTGGAGGTGGCGTCGCTGGTGGAGGCTGCCGCCGTCTGCTCTCCCCACCTGCCTTACAGGTACACCCTGGTGGCTGCAGACAAGCACACCTATTTCCAGGCAGAGAGGCTCTGCGCCACCTACGGAGGGTCGCTGCCCACCTCCCTCACCGAGGAAATGCTGGAGGCCACGAAGGAGGTGAGATTTCTGTCTTCGGAGTAGTTACACTGTGTGGCTGTAGGGTACAAGGAACTATAGTGTGGATCTGACATCTCCGTAGTCATTGATCGACCGGATTTCTACAGGAGAGTGAGTGGGTGGGGGGGGGGGGGGGGAGGAGGGTTGCGATATTGGAAGGATTGCTGCAGTATTTATTATTTTATCTATTATGCAACTCATACTCATCCTGTGAGTGGTGGTGGACCCCATACTCATCCTGTGAGTGGTGGTGGACCCCATACTCATCCTGTGAGTGGTGGTGGATCCCATACTCATCCTGTGAGTGGTGGTGGACCCCATACTCATCCTGTTAGTGGTGGTGGACCCCATACCCATCCTGTGAGTGGTGGTGGACCCCATACTCATCCTGTGAGTGGTGGTGGACCCCATACTCATCGTGTGAGTGGTGGTGGACCCCATACTCATCCTGTGAGTGGTGGTGGACCCCATACCCATCCTGTGAGTGATGGTAGACCCCCATCCCCATCCTGTGAGTGGTGGTGGAACTTAGAGAGGCACAAAGACACGCTAGGTAGCTAGCATCTTGTTGACCCTTGCTATAAACCGGCGTTTCGTTCCCATCAGCGAAGCAGGAAACTTTATTTATTTAATTTAATCAAGAACTGTTCACCAATATGTTATAATTTTAATAAATGCCGCAGCATTAACTAAGATAATTTTGACAATTTATAACTAAGGCTATAAGATCTGAGTCCCAGTGTTAAATATATAGCAAGTTTTGAGTCGTTAGGGACACGTCCTGAGCCGACTAATGAAAGCAAATTCATTCTGGGAAACTCCATACGATAACTAGTTGGATGAGGTTGTGGATTAAAGAACAAATCCACGAGGGCCGTGACGAGGATTCGAACCTTTGTCTGAGAGCATCCCAGATGCTGCCTTAATCGACTGAGCTACGACATGGTCAAAAGAGTTAAAACCAGAAGTTCTACTGAACTTACTGGATCTTGCAGTCTCTCCGAGGCACAAACCAGGGTTTTACACAACTCCCCCCATGCACTCGAGCTATGTCAATAGGCCGTTCTCCCTCTTCGCCCTTACGTCATTACACACAGAAATCACAATAGCGTAATGCTCTCAGACGTAGGTTCGAATCCTCGTCACGGCCCTTGTGGATTTATTCATTGATGCATCACGCTATTGTGATTTCTGTGTGTAAGGTTGTGGATTATTTTTTTCACACATCCAGGCGAGGATGACGCTGTTAGTAAAATATTATCCAGCGAGGATATTACGGTCAATTACCTCGTCCAGCGTGCGGACAGTAGTTTGGTCAGCAATTACCTCATCACAAAAGGGACCATCCCTCGGATAACTGAATTATCAGTTAATAATGCAGGAAGTCGTTACATGGCCGTAGCAAGTGAAGGTTAATTGGTGTACTTCACCTGCAATTATTTCTCTTTGCAAGTGCGTCTTGTTAAACGCCGGAGCTGGTATAGCTTTGCGAACTGGCGTTATCCTTGTTACGTCGTTTTGATACACTATGATTATAGTTATTTGTTCTAATAACCTTTTTGATTATATTATATAAACACACAACAAAGGAACTTAAACAAATTGTCATGTGAGATGTATTATATGTGGTGTCAGGCCATTAGGGTACGATCAGTGTAGGGGGTGGGGGTTGCCGCCCCCTCATGGCGTAGTGGTTTATAGTGACTCGCCTCGCAAGTGACAGGATTTGGGTTCGAGTCCTGGACAGGGCTGGGCCCCAGCCTGGTATATGGGGAAGTATTCAGTTTGTCAAAAATTCCTTGCGAGTTTATGCAAGTGTGTGATAAACTCAAGACACGAGTTTTCTCCAGTAAATATGATTGATAGAAAATGAGTGTTTGATCAGGGACTATTTCTTCTGGTGTCGTCGGGGGAGGGGATTATGAGATAGAAAATCTGCCCTAATTCCCTCCATTTTTGACAATCTGAGGGTGGTCTAGTGGTTAACGCTTGGGCCTGGCATCTGCAGGTCCATGGTTCGATTCTCTCATATGGGGAAGTGTTCTGTTTTGATATATATATATATATATATATATATATATATATATATATATATATATATATATATATATATATATATATATATATATATATATATATATATATATATATGATATATATATGTTGTTGAATATGACCGTAAAGGTAAGATTAATAATTCTAACATGAATTTTCTCAATATTTCTTATGTTTTTCTTCACTGTCGGTGGTAATGGAAAGATCAATTCTCCAAAATTCATTTTTATTAATGGTCTGACGCCTAGAGGCGTTTCGTAAGGGCTTCTTACATTCTCAAAGACTTGTTTACACTGAACACTACACTTTTGATACACTTGATACACTGTGTATGAAACATTTGACATAACTCTTGATTTTTATTGGTTTTGGGTGAGGTGGGTACATGAGAATGGAAGAAACAACAGAGGGTCTATTGGCCCATACGGTGCTTTGAAGTGGGTAGAATATAGTTGTGCATTAATTGGCTGTTGATTGCTGGATGTAAAACGACTGTCAGATCGTAACTCCCGAGTATCTGTTTATTGCTGGGTGAATAGCTGCATTAGGTGAAAGAAAACGTGCTTAGTCATTTCAGCCCTGACTGATAGGAGAAAATGAGAGCAAACATACACAAACAATTTAATTTTTCTAGACAATGATGACTTGTCTCAATGCTGCAGATATTGAACAAACAGCCCAACATGATGCTCTTCGCGTGGATCAAGTCTAGCGGCGAGAACAACAGCTGCAGATCAGTGAGCTTGCAGCCTCAGGAGGACGAGGCCCTTGATATGTCCGTCTCCTGCGGACACACCGCTGACAAGCTCCTCTGCCAGGTCAGTCTCAACTCTTCCGACCGAGTGTGCAAACAAATTCTTACATATTTTGAGATATATACAAGAGTTGTTACATTCTTGTACAGCCACTAGTACGCGTAGCGTTTCGGGCAAGTCCTTAATCCTATGGTCCCTGGAATACGATCCCCTGCCGCGAAGAATCGTTTTTTCATCCAAGTACACATTTTACTGTTGCGTTAAACAGAGGCTACAGTTAAGGATTTGCGCCCAGTAAATCCTCCCCGTATTAGGTGTATTCTCCTGGGGTTGAGAGTTTCTGATTGGTCGGAATAACTTTACGCTTGATGTTCGTTACATCGTGCGAGCGCGGTGACGAGTGTCTGAAACATCCTGTCACGGTGTACCTCAGGTGCCGTGGTCTTCTCACATGGAGTTGCGTCACAACGGTGCAGCGGACGCCGACGACCTCTTCTACCTGGTGCCCCGGGGGATAGTGCCCAGGTTCTTCTCCCCCCGGGGCCGCGAGATGTCCTCGCCGGAGCCCAACGCCCTCGCCCTGCACGACAACGAAGGGGCGCTGCTGGCGACGGCGGCCATGGCCACGTACCAGCCCATGGGACGACACCTGTGGAAGACCTCGCACACCAACGTCACCAAGACCATGGTTCTTACTGTCTGCAAGAAGGTACGTGGAGACCATTGGACCTTGCCGTCAACAGACAGGTACACGATGCTCTCCCACACTCTCTATGCTACTTGGGCAGCTGAAGTATTATCAGATTCAAGAATTTGTTATTTAAAGTTTTGAAATAGATATGAGACTCTTAAGCAACAACGAAACGATGTGATTTAAATGTCTTATCACCTGCTTGCTCGATCTCCCTTGACCAAAGGAGGAGTTTACCTGCGACGACGGCTGGTGCATCCCCTTGTCGTCTCGGTGCAACGGCGTCAACGACTGCGGCGACGACTCGGACGAGCTGTGCGCGGTGCTGCTGCCGCTGGCGTCGTCGTACCGCCTGGACCGCTCGCCGCTGCCCCGCACCCCGCTGGCCATCACGGCCCACCTCGTCCGCGTCCACCACGTCGACGTCGTCAACAACCACCTCACCGCTTGGCTCCAGGTAGGCCGGGGTAGGCCACTCCTGGGTATATCCTCCTGGGTATTCTACTGACTATACCATTCTGGAAGGGAAGGGAATTGTCGGGAAAGCGCCAAGCCATGACGACTATATAGCACTGGGAAGGGGTCAGGATTAGGATTTGGGATGGGACGGGAAGGGAAAGGAATGGTGCCAAACCACTTGGGTGGTCGGGGAATACCATTCTGGAGATAATCCACTTTGGGTAGTCTCTACTGGGTTTACAACACGAAGTAAATCCTACTTTGGATACCAGTGTGGGGGATACAACACTTTGGGTATATTCTACTTGGTCTACCTCACCTACAGCGTATATCCTACTGTATAGACACTACTGGAGTGTATACTATTGGAGGCAGAAAGCTTTGGTTGTGGTTTGTCGAGGTTTCACTGGCCAAGGGGCAAGGCTGTGTCGGTTAATCACCCCTCCAGTTACTGGCCAGACCCAACGGTACTTAATATGAATGATCGAACAGAGAAAGCATAATCGACATTGCCAGCCCATATGTGTGTGTGTATATGTGGACATAATTTATGTTTGTCGTTGACAAGTCCCCTCACTTCCCTCCCACAGCTCAACACACAGTGGCAGGACGGGCGGGTTCTCCTGTCGCAGCTGAGTGAGACGTCGCTAGACAACATCCTGCCGGAGGAGACGGTGTGGACGCCACGCTACGCCCTCACCAACGCCGTCTTCCATGACAGGGTGTCCTACGCCCAGCACCGGAACTCGTTTCTCGTCACCTTCGCCTCGAGAGTCACGCGCGGGAAGGCTGACTGCATTGACGGATATGAGGGTGCGATAAGTTGTAGTTTCCTCAGCATTATCCACCAGCAGGCTGATTTTTTGTGATTTTTTTGGTAATGATTTAAATAGATATTTATTATACACTCGTGATTGTTTTTTGTTTCCTTAGTGGCAATGTTATTATTCGCGATTTCCATATTTGTACTCTCGTTGAGCGTGACGTCACTTCCGCTTCCAGGTTACGTCTACAACGGCAGCACCGACGCCATCTTGGAACGTCAGGAGAATTTTATGGCGGCCTGCATTTGTGACTTTGATCTCACTATCTTCCCTTTCGACGTGCACGAGTGTCATATTAACATCTCCATCATCAACACAGGCACCTTCTACTCCACCTTTGAACCAATGGTAAACACTTTGAATTATTTACCGATAACTAGGAAGGGGAATAATGGTCTGCGCCCGGATCTATCTCTCTCTCTCTCTCTCTCTCTCTCTCTCTCTCTCTCTCTCTCTCTCTCTCTCTCTCTCTCTCTCTCTCTCTCTCTCTCTCCTCTCTCTCTCTCTCTCTCCTCTCTCTCTCTCTCTCTCTCTCTCTCTCTCTCTCTCTCCTCTCTCTCTCTCTCTCTCTCTCTCTCTCTCTCTCTCTCTCTCTCTCTCTCTCTCTCTCTCTCTCTCTCTCTCTCTCTCTCTCTCTCTCTCTCTCTCTCTCTCTCTCTCTCTCTCTCTCTCTTCTCTCTCTCTCTCTCTCTCTCTCTCTCTCTCTCTCTCTCTCTCTCTCTCTCTCTCTCTCTCTCTCTCTCCTCTCTCTCTCTCTCTCTCTCTCTCTCTCTCTCTCTCTCTCTCTCTCTCTCTCTCTCTCTCTCTCTCTCTCTCTCTCTCTCTCTCTCTCTCTCTCTCTCTCTCTCTCTCTCTCTCTCTCTCTCTCTCTCTCTCTCTCTCTCTCTCTCTCTCTCTCTCTCTCTCTCTCTCTCTCTCTCTCTCTCTCTCTCTCTCTCTCTCTCTCTCTCTCTCTCTCTCTCTCTCTCTCTCTCTCTCTCTCTCTCTCTCTCTCTCTTCTCTCTCTCTCTCTCTCTCTCTCTCTCTCTCTCTCTCTCTCTCTCTCTCTCTCTCTCTCTCTCATCTATTCCATATCGCCCTCTCTTCCCATGTTCCCCCCTTTCCAATTTTCTCCTCCAAGATTCTCCCTCTTCTTCTCTCTCCTACCCTCTTCGCCTTTCTCCCCCAACTCTCACTAACATCCTCCTTTCACCTCACCTCTCACCCTCTCTTCCAATCTCACTCCACTTCTCATCTCTTCCGCCACTTGTCTCCCCCTTATTTCCTTATCTCTCCCTAACATTACGTTTTTCTTCCCTCCTAGCTCCTCTATCTCAGAAAATGTAATAATAAATTCATGTCGATTCTAGGGAAAAAATCTAGGGACTCTGCCAGCCACCTTTCACTTATTTTGTGTAGATGGGGTCACTACAGGAACCCGACCCCTCTTAATAAGACCGACTCCTGTCCATCTTGTGTCCGTCCTGTACCCCAGACCAGTCACCCTGCAAAGTTGGGTGAGGCTAGCCCCAAGCGTCTGACCTTCGACTTTTGTTTTGTTTAATAATTTCTTCTTGAGAAAGGGACTTGCAGAGAAGCCAAACTGGGGCTGTATAATGCATTTGATTAACTTTAAAGACTAAACACAGACTCCGCCACATCCTTTCTGTGCTAGAGAGTGGGATGCACAGGCGCTATGTCCAAGCACGCTAAGTTTGCTTTTCATTACATCAGCGGCCCTGTTCTGAACTTTGTTCTATAACTTTAGATTTAGTTATAATAGGCCACTCTAGGCCAGGCCGACACCAGAGCGCAACTCCATAGCCTCCTGAGACTGATGGATGCCTACTCCTAATAGGGAATAGGCATCCTACTCCCTATTAGTAGGGAGTAGGCATCCTACTCCCTACTTTGATTAATCTCAAATAATCGGTGAATATTCCATTACAGATCTAATTGGCTAGTAGTAAAATAGGTAATGCACTGCCACCCTCCTCCCCCACCCCCCACCCCACCTCTAGACAAACTAGTTTATGAATACATTTATCTGATATGTGTCACAAAGGCGCGTGAATTATGTATTGTCATCAACTTCCACTCCTAATATGGCACCTGATGGGTTGTGTATTAGTGTTTCATTGTTATCTTTTATGACAGGAAAAGATATATGGGCCCATCTGATGGCGTTGTCTCTGAGGGCAACAATAACATGGTACTCTCCTCCTTTTAATGAGATAGTTTAAAGGGTTTCATGAATGCGATGTTTCTTCTATCATATTATACGTTTAAGTTTAACAAATAGTTTTCTTTAACACTATGACTAACATTATTCATTGTGCTATTTATTTTGAAACAATGGATTGTTTGCTATAAAAATGTCTATGTTTTTTTATTTGTAATATATATTTCTACAAGTTAAGAGGCAAGTAATTATTGTTGTTAATTATTATTTTAAGGCCACGAAACACACTAAACATGCATTTGAAAATGTCAGTAACGAACAACTTATTACATAAGAAAGTGTGGCTTTTAGCTGTTAGAAAATGGGTTAAGAATAAGTGTTTATAAACAAATTCAGGTACAAAAGTCAAATCAAGCTGACATAATTGTTTTTTTATTTAATTATATATTTACAAGTTCTTATACATAGCCACTAACACGCATAGCGTTTCGGGCAGGTCCTTAATCCTAATTTTCCCCAGAATACGACCCGCCAAACCGTTTAATTAACAACCAGGTACCCATTTACTGCTGGGTGAACAAAGGCTACAGTTAAGGATTGGCGCCCGGTCAATCCTCCCCGGCTAGGATACGAACCCAGGCCAAAGCGCCGGGCGAGTCTTACCACAGCGCCGCGGGGACTGCTAAACTTGATGACTGATAAAACACTGAATGATGGGCACAAATATTTCTAAATATTCGCGGGAAGATGTTATGTACTTGGAGCCACTAAGGCAGTATTGGTGCTTATCTTCAGGCCCAATCCAGCTTACTCTCGAATAAAGTGAATAAATGAGCGTCTGCATCAAGGATATGCTGAAGGAAAGTAATAGTGTCTGTCGAGCGCAACAGTACATTTCAGAAACAAGAATTAGCCGGTTTGGAAATGCTGTGCTGGACAAAATCCCAGTTCCAATCTGCAGGAACCAATGGACAAACGCCTGAACTTATTTGCTATACCGGTAAACGCCACTAATCTCTTTGCTTGGGTATATCACTGAACTATAGGTTCAGTGAGTCTACACTTAATTCCTACTGACACCTGTAAGGTAAAATCCTAACTAAATATAAGGCACTGTGTATTAATCACTTGAGAACACTTTCATAAATTAGCTGATTCTACAGCAACTTGTTACTACAAGGTGTGCTCAAGGGTACATATAGCTGAGAGAGCGAAACATGTCCAGTCAGCTTGAGAGCCACTGCTCTACTGAGAGATTAAAACTCTGGCAAGGGGGTAGAGGTAGTCCTCTCGCTCCGGTGTTGCCAAATTTGCTTAACGGTTAAGTGTAAGCAACATAACCTATTACCTGCAGCTCTACCTAGTAACAATTCACCTCCTCCTGCCTGTATAAGGAATATTTCTGTCATATAAGGCCTTCACATAATACGTGATAGTTAACGGGCACTAAGGTCACATATCTGTTTCTTTAAATGCAGTCAGAGAATTGAAAAATGGCAATGCTGCCTTCTCAATTCTGTTTGGAAAACAGAATTGTTTTACTCTGTCTGCCTGACTCTAAACTGCCAATGGCTAGATACTTGTCTAACAGAGACCTAACCCTCATATCTTATTAATCATTATCTAACTATTTCTTAAATTATATTAATTACATTTACATGTTGATAATTAATTTACAATGGTTTGACATCTGGTATTCGGATTTAACATAGGCTTAGCTCAGCCCGTTTTCAGAGCAAATCCCTGGTGAAACCACCTGGATAGTTATCTAGATATATGTGATGGTCTGAAAGCGTATTACGGTTCCAGTAATAGTCTACTTGTAAACTGACAAGTGAACCTTTGTCATGAACAGAGAATATGCTCAAGTTATAAGTTTATTGTACTATAAATCGCTGGTTTAAAATATAAAAATTATTTGCTTAATACATTTTCTTTGAAACGGTCTGAAGAATTTGGTTTTCTGTCAACAAAATTCAGGGGTACACCTAAACAGTTTTCGAATTAGATTTTCACATTTTAATCATTATTACACTGTATTAACGTAACCAACTGTAATGAAACGTAACCTAACCTAACATAACCATGGATAGAGAGTAGATAACAGCACTAATTATTAAGAGAACTAACAATAGTCCCCCCGTGGCGCAGTTGTAAAACATTCGCCCGGCGCTTGGTGAGCACTGGCCTGGGTTCGTTCGTATCCTGGCCGGGGAGAATTGACTGGGCGCCAATCCTTAACTGTAGCCTCTGTTCACCCAGCAGTGAATGGGTACTGTTAAACGATTTGGCGGGTCGTATTCCTTGGAAAAATTAGGATTAAGGACTTGCCCGGAACGCTATGCGTGCTAGTGGCTGTACAAGAATGTGAGAACTCTTGTATATATATAAATAAATAAAAATTATTGAGTACTTTTCAATCCATTACATCTTGAGGATCTCCTCTCTGAGGACAGGTTGCTCTATATTATGCCTCTGGCACAATTCTATTACCTCAAAATTATGGTATATAATTCTATCATAGTTTGCATATAAGATATTACCTAATAAACACTATTCTTCTATTTAAATTATGAGACACATGAAGGCTAAGACAGAATATTAAAATTAAAATTAAAATATTAGCCTAATCTTCTGTTAAATTTACATATGGCATCTATCATTATTTCATTATCGCCCATTTGCATTCTCTCATTGCTATATTTGCATACAACATGTCACTTTAGTGACGTCTTTAATAAATCATTAACTTTGCTATATGCAATTTATGAATGCAAATTTCACAGATTATAAATATCATTATGGCTAAGCCTAAGCCTAGTTGATAACAGAACACAATAGCGCGCTCACACACACACACAAGAAGAGTTAGGGGGGACATGGTCACTACATTTAAGATTCTCAAGGGAATTGATAGGGTAGATAAAGACAGGCTATTTAACAAAAGGGGCACACGCACAAGGGGACACAGGTGGAAACTGAGTGCCCAAATGAGCCACAGAGATATTAGAAAGAACTTTTTTAGTGTCAGAGTGGTTGACAAATGGAATGCATTAGGAAGTGATGTGGTGGAGGCTGACTCCATACACAGTTTCAAGTGTAGATATGATAGAGCCCAATAGGCTCAGGAACCTGTACAGCTGTTGATTGACGGTTGAGAGGCGGGACCAAAGAGCCAGAGCTCAACCCCCGCAAACACAACTAGGTGAGTACACACACACACACAGCCCAACTAAGCACCTCTTCTCATCAGAGGATCTGGGTTAAGTCAGCACCCGCCACCCTAACACTGTTCCAAGCCTCGGAGCTGCGCTTTGTCTACGAGTCCAACAACGGCACCATCTCCACCATCAGCTTCAGGGTACGTCACTCGCCCACTCTCGGTAAACATGTTAAATTTCGTTAAATTAAAGCTAAAGCAAATTGTTCTCATTCAAATGTTGACATTAAAGGTTTAGAGAACGTTTTAGATTTTTTAATATTTCATTTTTTTTGTTTGCTTCATTTTTTTACTGACACTCTATGAAGGCTTGGTTTTGTGAGTGCCTGGCTTTATGAGTGCCTAGCTCTGAGTAACTTGCTCTGTGAGTGCCTGGCTCTGAGTGCCTAGTTCTGAGTAACTTGCTCTGTGAATGCCTGGCTCTGTGAGTGCCAGTCAGTGCCTTAATATCAATATATATAATAATGTTAATGCGTGAGCGTATAACTACAAGAGTTGTGAGAGTGTATAGCTACGAGTTATATGACAATGTTGCGCGCTCTTGTATAAACATGTATGGCTGCACGAGAGTATACATATATATATACATACCCGTTGTGGTGTATGGGTAGGCGGCTGTATACTCAAATGGTTGCAGGTACTGCTGAGGCGACAGTTCGGAGCCTATCTCCTCACCACCTTTCTCCCCTGCTGGATCCTGGGGATCATAGGCTTCGCTACGCTCTCCTTCAGATCCTCAGACTTCAGGTCTGGCAAACTTCGCCTCAAGTTTGAAATTGTTTTAGTTTTGCAATTTTGTGCAGAAATGAATGTATTATTGGTCCATATATATAATTTTGTAACCGTTACTTTCGAAGGTCAACTGATTTAAAGCTAGTGGGGGAAATTTTCTTCTGAGAAATAGGTCTAGAATAGGCTGTAAGAAGCGCTGACTCCATGTTGAAGGTTTTACTGGATTGCTTTCATCTAATTGGTTTTGTCTTAATTAAATGTTAAATTGTATTGCCAGATTTAATTTTGGTCTTGGAAAAAAAGTAAGCTAATAAAGAAAATTTGGGGTGTGGGCCAAATCTTTGATTAATATAAAAAAATATCTGCTATAGCTTCTTTTCTAATTTAGCAAATAAAACGATAAAATTATCATCACCTTTATATATTTCCATAGCATTTAGGTAATAAGCCATTTAGCAATTTATATATTTATTGTAACTGTCCATTCACTTGTTCTCATATCCCTTCCAAGCGCTATATAGTCATACAGGCTTAATGCTTCCCCTCCTGATAATTACCTGACCTTGTACCTCTAATATGGCTCACCTTGACGTCCGCAGTGAGCGCATCAGCGTGACCTTGTCTTGCCTGATTGTCATCGCCGCCCTCTACTCCCAGATCACCTTCACAATCCCCCAGTCCTCTTCGCCTAAAATTATCGACGTCTACTTCTTCTATTTCATCGTTCGTCTCTTCAAGACCTTCGCTCATCATTCTGTTCTCTATTTGATTCGAAACTACCGGAAAAAGATGCAGGAGAACAGTAGGAGTGAGAACGAAGTAACCCCCTCAGAGACCGACAAGACAGTGAGTGAAGTCGTCGAAGAGGACTCCATGACCACTTCATGGACGGCTGCCGAAGTACAGAAGGGGGAGATATACACCGTGATGGAAATAAAACCCTTTGCGAGCGTTCATCCTCAGAAACCTGCGTCCACGAGCGCCTCTCCTGAGAAAAAGAACCCACCCCGCCGCTACGACAGAATCTTCAACGTGGCGGGAATCACCTGGGGCATCGGCACTGACTTTATCTTCATCTCTTTCTTCTCCTACTGGATCTTAAGCTCTCGACAGGAGGTCATCAGCAGGTTTGAAGAAAGTCTAGTGTAGGAATATCTATGTAGCTGTGTTTAACATAACTTTAGTTCCTTCTGTCACTTCCCAGCTGGATTCGGCCTCTTCCAATCCAAGAACAGCTAGAGACATATTAATTAACTTGTATATATGCCAATCTAATATGTCATGACGGGAGGTCACCAAAGCACCATAAAAGTCCTATCCAACGCTGTTTGACTTTGTTGGTCCAGCAAGACATATGACGTCCACTACTTCTCTTGTGATGGAGTTTAGTCACACCCAGCAGTTATCTTGTTCTATTATTAACAACGATTTTAGCATGGGTACTGCAGATACATTTATAAGAGGATTGTGGATTCTGCAGTGTGCGCTTCACCTTAAAGACAAGTAATAATGAATTTGCTTTAAATGATCAGTAACGCATCGATGTCCTGCAATCTGCGGTTTTTTTGTTGCCAAGAATTCATGTACAGTCACCCGCTATGACAGCCATCGTCTCCAGACCTCGCCCCGTGACTGTCATCAATGTTCCGTGTGTAGCTCACTTCCTAACTCATTGCGGTAGAACAAGAAAGGCTCTGTAGGTTTAATATGATGTTGACCTTCACTGTCTTCTCCACATCCTTCCTCAGGTAGAGGAAGGATGGTATACATAGGTGGAGGAAGGATGGTATACATAGGTGGAGGAAGGATGGTATACATAGGTGGAGGAAGGATGGTATACATAGGTGGAGGAAGGATGGTATACATAGGTGGAGGAAGGATGGTATACATAGGTGGAGGAAGGATGGTATACATAGGTGGAGGAAGGATGGTATACATAGGTGGAGGAAGGATGGTATACATGCCTTCAGCTACGAGCGCTGCTCTGCTGTTGTACTGTGATGCATCGTCCATGTCATTCAGGGATCGAATGCTCTGAAACCAGTCACTTCTCCATCCAGTTCACTCCTTGTTGATTCCATCGACTCCGGTCAACAGCCGGTGGCCGAGCGGACAGCACGCTGGGCACGTGATCCTGTGGTCCCGGGTTCGATCCCGGGCGCCGGCGAGAAACGATGGGCAGAGTTTCTTTCACCCTATGCCCCCTGTTACCTAGCAGTAAATAGGTATCTGGGAGTTAGTCAGCTGTCACGGGCTGCTTCCTGGTGTGTGTTTGTGTGTGGTGTGGAGAGAAGAAAAAAAGTAGTTAGTAAACAGTTGATTGACAGTTGAGAGGCGAGCCGAAAGAGCAAAGCTCAACCCCCGCAAACACAACTAGGTGAATACAACTAGGTGAATACAACTAGGTGAATACAACTAGGTGAATAAACATTGTGACCAGACAATAACACGAAGCTTGAGAAACTGACAAGCAAGTTATCGTGTCCTTATCTGTTGATCGCGTATCTTGCGACTTACTAAATAAAAAGTTATAGAGTATTTCACCTTCGGGAGGTAAATTGCCAGATCTGAGAATTCGTCAATCTTCAAAACAAAGTAATGGCTGGCGACGACACGGTACAATAATTGGGTTAGGATATCTATATCCAGGTCATCAGTTCACCGGGACGCTGAGTTGTTTAATTACATTTTTTTTTTTTTTTTTTTTTTTTTAGATATATACAAGAGTTGTTACATTCTTGTACAGCCACTAGTACGCGTAGCGTTTCGGGCAAGTCCTTAATCCTATGGTCCCTGGAATACGATCCCCTGCCGCGAAGAATCGTTTTTTCATCCAAGTACACATTTTACTGTTGCGTTAAACAGAGGCTACAGTTAAGGAATTGCGCCCAGTAAATCCTCCCCGGCCAGGATACGAACCCATGACATAGCGCTCGCGGAACGCCAGGCGAGTGTCTTACCACTACACCACGGAGACTGTTAACGACACTAACTGTATAGCAGCTGATAGCATCATGACACCCCGCTGTGGTGTGAACTTTGCTTCACTACACGACTCTTACTAAGTATGATGCCTCAAGGTCCTTGGTGTTGTCGTTAGAGGGAACACGAGCTAAACCTTCAAGATCACCGCTTGTAATGTACATGTTCTCTGTTTAAGTGTCGGTGTCTATTGTTTATGTTTATGGTGAAATACTCGACAACTTTTTGTTTTGTAAATCGCAAGCTACGCGATCAACAGACACGGCAACTTGCGTGTCAGCTTCTCATGCTTCGTGCTACTGTCTGGTCACAATGTGTTGCATCGGTGTCGATGGAATAAATGAACGCCGTGATCGTTACTGTCTTCGCTATCTTGCGGGGTCCCTACAACACCCCTCACTCTCACTTATGTCGTACTTTGACCTTTACCCCTACTGTGGTCCCTCTTCCCTTTCAACACCTACCTTTTTCTGAAGGATTGTCTCACTTGCAAGGTTCTCTTTTGATTCGTGTTACTAATATCTCTCCTCGTGTCGTTCCATACTGGCCCCCGTGGAGGGTCCCCCCTTCCTGAGTTTTGTAAAATCTTGACCCACGTGACTGAAGCTTTTACCCCCTCCTACAGTTCTGAAACACCTTTTCCTTGCACACTTTTTTTCAAACTCCCGCTAAATTTCCATCTTCACAGATGGGTCTAAGTCTGCAGACGGTGTAGGCTACTCTGTTGTTTTTCCTGACCACACCAATATGTGTCGCCTGCCTCCAGAGACTAGCATCTTCACGGCAGAACTTTATGTTATTTTGTATGCTTTTCGTCAACTGCTTTCTCACTGTCAATCTTCCTTTGTTGTTATAGTTGACTCTCGCAGGTCCCTCATGGCTCCGGAATCCTTTAATCCAACCCATTCTGTGGTAGTCGAAATTCAACATCGAGTGTTTCTTATCTCCAGCAGGTTTAAGACAGTGGAGTTTTGCTGGGTTCCCAGCCATATTGGTGTGTCCTTAAATGAGCGTGCGGAAGCTGCCGCTAAGGAGGTTATCCGCACTTGTTCCATCTCCCGTAAAGGTGTTCCTTATTCCGACTTCTACCCGGTTAGTCATTTCTTAATCCTTGCCCGATGGCAGGGTCGTTGGTCTTCTGTTACCGGTAACAAACTGCGTGCTTTTAAGGGTAGCGTGTTCCCTTGACCTTCCTCCTACCACCATAACCAGCGGTGGGAAACGGCTCTGGCGTGGTTGCGTATTGGCCATACACGCTTAACTCACGGACACTTAATGGAGCGCCGCCCTGTTCCTTATTGTCCAGACTACATTGTCCCTCTTACGGTCGTGCATATCCTTGTTGAATGTCCTGACTTCCGGGACGAGCGTGTGTCTTGCTTCCCGACTGTCCCCTCGCGGTCACCTGTCCCTCGATATAATCATCGGTGAATCATATACCTTTGATATCGTTCGCCTTATGCGCTTTTGTTTTCGTATTTGCATCCTTAGTGATATTTAGCCCTTTTTTAATATCCCGCACATTTGATGGCGCTACATAGCCTTCCCGGCTTGTGCCTTCTTTTAATAATTACTAGTTTACTTCTCTTCTTATGTGTGGATGTGTTTGGTGCATATAGATGAAAGTTGCCTCATAAGTCCATTATGAAGCATAAGTGTGCTACTTGGAACTTTTGTTTCGAGTAGCTGAATCATAAACAACAACAGCTGCCTCATATGGGCCCTCTACAGTTTCATTTGTTTGGGTGTTCTTAAAGAAGGATGGTTTGAGGCTGTTAGTAGATAAGACTTCACAAGGTTACCGCATCTGAGGTTATTCACTGTGTCCAGTCCAGGTACACGGAGTTCGGAAGTAATAATTATTAGTCTTGTTTTGTCATAGGCGTTCGTTAGCATCAGAGGCCGGGGGTAAGTTCGTAACTGCCACCCTCCCCTGTGTTCTACGTTTCTGTTCATAGTTCTGCGTTTGAATAAAGTATATATAGGACAAACAACAGCCTGGTTGACCAGACGACCAACCGGGAGGTCTGGTTGGAGACCGGGCCGCGGGGCCTTTGATCCCTCAGAACCTCAACAAGGCTGATAGCTCTTCAAGGTTGATATTCCTCTTCACAAGGAATCCAGGCAGTACGGCACTATCTGTAGAACAAGTGGCCGGGTAGTACAGTACTATGGGTAGGTAGTACTAGTGTACTGCCACCATTAATATAACAAGTTTACTGGAACTAGTACTATGAAACAAGTTTCTTTGTTTCTTCACTAAGTTCTTCATCGTATACACTTAATTGTTGGTCATCAAAGCGTAAAATACACACCCTGGCAAGATAGAGCATTAATTTAAACTGTCAGCTCGTCAGTAGACTGATCAGTTGGCACATCGCTGTATCATGAATGGCGGGGGAGGGAGAGGCTATAATTCCCTCACTGAAAAAAAAATTTTCGCCTGAAATAAAATCATTTATACACCTCTCATACTCACAAATTTCTTAACTTTAAATAAATATATAATTTACTTAATGTTTAGTGTTGTAAATACAGTATTTATTTGAAGACATCAACTGAAATTATAATGCCATTGTAGGTTTAGTTTTGCGTACTATTTATAAACATTGTACACGTACCTCAGAGGTACGTGTACCCATAATGTGGAGACTAATGTTCTGACATAATCCTATTAGCTGAGGCACCATTACCCCCACGACTAAATGTGCACTTGATACTCTATTAACTCCAAGTGGAATAAGGGTATTGATCCCTGTAACAGTATAATGGGGTTGGAAGACGAGGCTATACTAAATGTCCGTTAGGATAATAGTGTTTGCGAGGCTGGTGTGAATTAGCTTGTCCCACTCCGCCTTTGGTACATCAATTTTACTGTTATTAAGTCTATGTCAGGTGCTTTTGTCGGCAAATGGTAATTGTTTCATGAAGAAAGGAATATTCCTTGTGTATGGATCCACTGGAAATAATGTTTTCTGACAAATTAGGAATTACTTGAATAACCTTCAAATAATATTAATAATAGTAATAATAATGTTTATTCAGGTAAAAGTACATACATTCAAAATGAGTTACAAACAAAATGTTGGATTTGTAGATGGAGCTAGTACAACAATGCCTAAAGCAACTAATATGCACACACACACACACACAGCTAGGGGGCCTGACAGCTGAGTGGACAGCGCTCGGGATTCGTAATGCTAGGGTCCGGAGATCGATCCCGGCGATGGCGAAAACAAATGGGCAGAGTTTCTTTCACCCTAATGCCCCCTGTTCACCGAGAAGTAAATAGGTACCTAAGAGTTAAACAGCTGCTACGGGCTGCTTCCTGGAGGTGTGTGTGGGGAAAAAAATAAGTTGATTGATTGACAGTTGAGAGGTGGACCCAAAGAGCAGAGCTCAACCCCCGCAAGCACAACTAGGTGAATACAACTAGATGAATAAATACACACACATACACACACGTACGTACGTTAGGTGAGAAGGTGGTGGAGGCCAAGACCGTCAGTAGTTTCAAAGCGTTATATGACAAAGAGTGCTGGGAAGACGGGACACCACGAGCGTAGCTCTCATCCTGTAACTACACTTAGGTAATTACACACCTCTCATCTCCCTCAACCTCCCCTCCCCCATATCCTCCTCTCCCTCTGTCTCCCTACTTACCATTCTCCTCTCTATATATCCCTTCTCTCTCTCTTCATTTCTCTGAACCTTGTAGACTAATACTAACCCTAGGCAACAAAAAGGGATCAAGCATGATGGTAGGACAACAGAACACAGTTGGAGGAGAGGGACAGGGTGAGTCGTACAGGTGAGTACGGAGATAATCGCTCGTGCATGGAGGGGAATCAGTGGGAAATTTAAAGACACGAGGGAAACCATAAGTAAACTACAGATGGGACTAAGTGCAGCGCAAGACGAGATAAAAAAAAAACATAAAAACAAGCCCTCCAGAGACTCTGGCCCAGGCAACCAACCCCCCAGGTAACGGGATGTAGCAATGGCAGGGACCCCCTATAATGGGTGCCACCTTTGCTGAAATGCTGAGGAAGAGCCCAAAAGCCATGCCCACAATCAAGGATGTTAAAATGAAAGCAGTAACTTCACTGTAAAATGAAAGCAGTAACTTCACAAAGCAGGAGGACGCTAGATGCACGAGCCAGCTAATGGAAAGGAAAAAGAGCTGTAGTCGTGGTAAGTATTAAGGAACAATAAAGTTCTAAACAGGAAGAGTGGAGGACATTTCTTTGCTGCTTCTGGAAACATTCATTATTAAGGAGCACATCCTCCGAATAGACAGTACGTTTTAGTACTAAATGTAATAAGTACAATCCTGACTATCGGCATAGTACGTAAATACACTTAATCACCAGCAACGCTCCAAAATATTGTGAATATTAGAGTTTACCTGAAAAGCTTTATAGAAAACCACGACCTAACCTAACCTTGGGAATGTAGGAGGACAAACATGTAAATAGCATTTATTGCTTCTTAATTACAATTAGTACTTAATTTATAGTTATATTGATATCACAATTTTATAAAACTAATAAAACAAAACTAAAGTCTTTCAATAAATTATGAAGTAACTAAGGATATTTTCAAATTTTGTATAAAATCTCTATTGTTTAATAAAACTGAAAAAAGAAATTCTTTATATCTAATACTTTTATCTAAAGAATTTAATGCAAAAACGACAACCTAAAAATTTTGAGTTCATTAATACAAAATTAATTCATATTTATGGTGAGGTAAATATAACAACACAATCAATTGTATTTATTAACTATGCAGACAGTGAGGAATGTACTTATTACATTTAGTATTAAAACGTACTGTGTATTCGGAGGATGGGTTGCTATTAAGACTACTCAAAGCCCAGTCGATAGAGCTGCGGCCTTACAGCACGCGTGGGTCCAGGGTTCGAGTCTCCTAGAGCCCAGGTGAATAGAATCAGGTGATGTAATTAAGGTAATCCAAAAGACATAATTATTAATTTATTTTATTTTATTAACAAACCCTTAGGGTTAATTAGCAACGGTGCTAATAATCCCAATGAAACAGCAAATTAAGAGCTATTATCCTACATCAGCTCATCTGAAGCCTCCCCCGAGAACAGTTACCTAATGAGCTTATGATTTGTTTTACAAGAGGAATCAACTTTATTTAGCGCTAAGTAACAATCGAGCTTAGTAACAGGATGAAGCTGAAGCCCACGGCGCACCAGAGGCTTCACACAGACGGTTGAGAGGTACATATACAGGTACCTTGCTCCTGTCACTGTATGAAAGTGGTTTTCCTGGCTCTCGGGTCAGAGGTGAGGAGGTCACAGAGCTTCTTGTGGTCAGGCCAGTGCTTCACCTGGCATTCTCTGTGTCACACGACAAAGAAAGTTGCGTTAGAGTACTTTTTCAGACTTAAAGTATCTATATCTAGTTTAGTGTACCTTGTGTAAGCCTAACGCATCCTTATCTAATTTTGTGTACTTTGTGCAAGCCTAATGTATTTATATATATATATATATATATGTATATATATATATATGTCGTACCTAGTAGCCAGAACTCACTTCTCAGCCTACTATGCAAGGCCCGATTTGCCTAATAAGCCAAGTTTTACTGAATTAATATATTTTCTCTAATTTTTTTCTCATGAAATGATATAGCTACCAATTTCATTATGTATGAGGTTAATTTTTTTTATTGGAGTTAAAATTAACGTAGATATATGACCGAACCTAACAAACCCTACCTAACCTAACCTAACCTATCTTTATAGGTTAGGTTAGGTTAGGTAGCCAAAAACGTTAGGTTAGGTTAGGTTAGGTAGGTTAGGTAGTCGAAAAAACATTAATTCATGAAAACTAGGCTTATTAGGCAAATCGGGCCTTGCATAGTAGGCTGAGAAGTGAGTTCTGGCTACTAGGTACGACATATATATATATATATATATATATATATATATATATATATATATATATATATATATATATATATATATATATATATATATATATATATATATATATATATATATATATATATATTTTTAAGCTTAATGTGTCTGTATCTAATATATTGTAACTTATGCAGGATTATGTACATATATCTAGTTTAGTGTACTCTATGCAAGCTCAATATAGCTATATCTAATATAGCAGACCTTGCGCTAGTTTAAAACATCTATATCTAGTTTAACTGAACTTTTGTAAGCTTAAAGTATCTACATCTAATTTCTAATTTTTGTACCGAGTTCATTATTTCATTATCTATTTAATTTATATATTTTCATATATATTCTATTAATATATTTTATGAACATTATATTTTTCATTTAATTGCACATTTTGTTAAAGCAGTATGTCCTTATTCCCGGATAAAATTAATACTGAAGTATATATATATATATTTTCTTATCCAAATAAACATAAGGAGAATTGCAAATGATGTTTGTTGACTGTTTTAGTGTCCTTTTGTGTGACGAACAGACATAGATACTTTATCGGATTATGTATTAATTGGATTTAGTTTACTTGTAAATATTTTGTTTCCGTATCTCATACGGGCATGCAGCATCCACACACACACACACACACACACACACACACACACACACACACACACACACACACACACACACACACACACACACACACACACACACACACACACACACACACACAAAATGTACATTAGTTAAGTGTAAAGGTTTTGGAGTTCCTCCGCTTCCGGACATTAACTGAGGACGTAGTAGGCGTTTCCTCTCTAGATCGCCACACAAAGCTGCTGAAACAAGAAACTGGCAGCTCTTGGATCTCTGGTGATGTCAACGAGCCTGGAGGGTGTTGTTACACCTCCTGCATCCAACTTCCCAGTTCCGTCGTAGAGATGCCACAGTACTTATTTCGTAGATTCCTTGAGCAAATTGGGACCGCACCGAGTATCAGTATTTCGGGAAGCATTCAAGCTTTTCACATACACACACATAGTGAGATCCCAGCATGCTCAGGTGAGTGCTGAGTTGACAGCGCTAGCAAATGTGGACCGACTGATTGATGGATGAAGATTAAGCCACCACAAGAGGTGGCACGGGCATGAGTAGCCCGTAGGTGGCAGATGTTTGAAGTGAATGTGGTCTTTGGTCGTGTAACATCATGAAGTGTCTCTGGGCCTGTGGACCGACTGGAGTAACTACAGTAATTGGTCGACACAGCATCTTGCAAGTGCAGGGCAGGGAAAAACCAACAGGTTCTACACATGTACATGTTGGTTCAACAATCTATATTTATTGCATCATGTTAATCCTAGACACGCTTCTTTTAACCTCACTCCTTTATCATTATCCTTTCCTGTACGCTTTTCTCCTTCTTGGACTAAAATATAGAAGGAAAACGTTGAGACGATTATGACGGTTGAGTCATGCGTAATTTCTCGCCTTACGTCCTCACAAACCTCTACACCTTTTGCTTCAGGAACAGCAGTCGGCACAAGAGTAGCCTAAGGCAGATATGTAATTTAAGTTAAGTAACGACTCCAGGAGCACAATAATCTGAGACTGACACCATTGTTTTCAAATGTGTTTATCAAGTACAATGCTTACCTTTGGGAGGGAGGTAGGGAGTTGTCAGGGGGGGGGGGGGAAGCGCCAAGCCATTACGACTAGATGGCACTTGGGAGGGGGTCAGGATAAGGATTTGGGATGGGACGGGAGGGAAGGAATGGTTACCTTTGGGAACCCTTGTGTGTATTGAGGTTTTCAGTGCAGGGAACAGAATGTAAAATTGGGATGACCTGTTTGTCGAGGAACTGCTTACCTGCGACAGTACCACTGAGCGCGGCACTTGGAGCACCTGCGGCCTGCTGGGCTACCGCAGGAGGCGCATGCGGGGGTATCGGGCAGCAGAGCCTCCAGGGCGTCGAGGTCCCACGCTGCTGCCAAGTTCGTCGCCAGGGCTTTCAGGGCTTCAGGCGTGGGCGTGAGGAACCTGGCCTCCAGGAGGTCCGCCAACTCACCCCATCGGCCCTCCCACATGCCTGCCACGCCCCCGCCCAGCTACCACCCACGCCCACATTGGTTAGATCTTTGTTGATAACTTGTGGTACTTGTGTTCAGCATTAATATTTATATATATATATATATATATATATATATATATATATATATATATATATATATATATATATATATGTCGTACCTAGTAGCCAGAACTCACTTCTCAGCCTACTATTCAAGGCCCGATTTGCCTAATAAGCCAAGTTTTCCTGAATTAATATATTTACTATAATTTTTTTCTTATGAAATGATAAAGCAACCCTTTTCTCTATGTATGAGGTCAATTTTTTTTTATTGGAGTTAAAATTAACGTAGATATATGACCGAACCTAACCAACCCTACCTAACCTAACCTAACCTATATTTATAGGTAAGGTTAGGTTAGGTAGCCAAAAAAAGCTAGGTTAGGTTAGGTTAGGTAGGTTAGGTAGACGAAAAAACATTAATTCATGAAAACTTGGCTTATTAGGCAAATCGGGCCTTGAATAGTAGGCTGAGAAGTGCGTTCTGGCTATTAGGTACGACATATATATATATATATATATATATATATATATATATATATATATATATATATATATATATATATATATATATATATATATATATATATATATATATGACAGTAAGCATCAACGAACTAACGACACTTGGAGTAACACTTTGCCTTTAGTAACTGAGGGTAGGAAGAGGGGTTGGCATGTACCTACCTGGGCAATGGTGGTGACGAGGGGCGGAGGACGAGCTTGCTGGGGGGCGGTGAGGGCCAGAGCGGCCAGCCAGCGGGCCAGGGGCTCTAGTGCCGGTACCTGGGCCAAGGCCGCGGCACTCAAGCGACCTCGCAACTTCAGCAGTGCCGTCCTCCTGCCGCTGCTGACCTCGTACATGGCCAGTGTCTCCCGGTCCATCAGGAGGGAGTAGAGTGCCGTCCACAGCTGGCACTCTGTGGGCGTGAGGGGCGCGGCATCCCCCTGTTCCACCCACTGGCCCTCTTGAAACACGTAGTTGTGACCGTTGTGCAGCGTCCTCCAGGGTGCCAGGTGCAGCAGGGAGGCCAGCAGCTGCGGCACGTCGTGGGTGTGCAGGAGGCGGGTGGTGGCACACAGTGGGAGACGGCGACGACAGCAGGCCAGCAGCTGGATGACAGCAGCTGCCCGACACGCCAGCACCAGACCCACACGACGCTCCTCTCTTGACACCTCCCTCACTATGCTGTCCTGCTTCTCCTCACTCTCACTCTCTCCGCCCTCAACCTCCCCGCCTCCCGTCTCACCAGTTCCTCTCATCTCCGGCGTCTTATCTGGACGAGAGGGAGGGAGGGAGCAGGGTGCATAAGAATCGGATTAAAACCTATTCAGTATTCGAGAACTTTAACTAGCCTCACTAACCACACTCCCTACGCAACCACCCCATTCGCTTCCAACTGGTCACGTCCCTCTGGCCACACAATTCACTGCAGGATGACAGCAATAATGAACTATTATTAATAAGTTACATGTACATTTTAAACAATAACGATGGGAAATAAGAGAAACATTGCTTCAAGAACTGTTGCTTTCATACGCTTGAGGTTAATGAGGCTGTTAGTGCTGGCATTATTCTATCTCTTCTTTCCTCACTAGCCTTACCAGCCAGGGCGGGGCTTGCTGTCCAGGACTCCTGAGGTTCGTAGAGCAGGGGCTGGTGTGGGTGGGCGTGGGCGTGGGCGGCCATTCGGTTGAGTTGCCTCACGCTGTAGTCGATCACGTCAAGGGCTAGACCGTCGAGGGCTGCTGCCGAATCTTCGTGGTAGACCAGGTTCTCCAGCAGCCCCAGCACCGCCGCCTCCGTCTGCAGCTGAGGTGAACCACAGAGAGAATGAGACCACTTCCTGGCCTGTCTTGAGGTACTGAGTTCAGGCATGATCTGTGTGTGTGTGGCGGGGGGGGGGGGGGGAGGAGTGTATGGGGGTAAAGGAGGGGTGTATGGGTGGGAAATTATTAAGGAAGAGGAGGTGTATGGGAGGGAAATATATGGGTGCATGTGAGAGTAAGAGCGGGCATATTTGTTTCCTTACTTCAAAAATACAGTAATCGAAAGAATGTTTTAGTGTAGGGGGGGGGGGGGGTAATGAAGGGCCTTCTCCCTTGGTAATGGACTATAAGCAAGGGAGACGACCCTGGTGCTAGACCAAGATGAGAGTATACACCTACGCCCACGCCCATTTTCTCCCACGCCCGTGACTCACCACCATAACGAAGGGCAGGGAGGAGGAGGGTACCAACTGACGGCGGCTCAGCAGGAGGGGCAGCACGTTCAGTCTCCAGGCCTCAGTAGTCAGCAGGTGCCACACCACCGTCAGCCCCTGCGGGAATGTCAGCAGCTACCGTCAACAGGGGCCTCTCATCCCCGCTGACACGTTGATTTAGTCAGTGAGTTAGAAGGATACGAATTCACTTCCACTCAAAGTATACAGTTTAGTCACCTACTATATAATGACTAAACCACACATCCAGAAAATGGAGGAACGATACAAGAGGAAGCAATAAATTTTGCTTATATATGTGTACTCCCACTTGTCACTGCTATGAAATATTTACTAACACAAATAAAAAACAAATCGCTCTATAATGCCTCCTTGTTAATGACAGAAAATATAGACTCTTCACATAATTAAATACATCATATCTGAAATAAAATATACAATATTTTGAACATTTGACTTATGTTGGATACGGTTTGATGTGATCTATGCGAGGCCAGAATGACATTACGATTTCGTGGTACATGGCAATGCTGTCTGTACACTGCTATACGGCCTAGGTTAGGCTGTTTTAATCTCGTTATTCCTTAACTGTTTGCTAATACGACAAATTGTGAGCAGCTTGGTGAGCAAAAGTCTACAGTTGGTACATTTAGTAAATATTATGTGGTCTTAACAGGAGGGTGGGTTGACTAATTCAGCCAAATGATTGAAAATAACTGACTAGAATATTAGGATATTTATAGAATAAACTAAACTTTCGACTTGGTTTCCTATTGTCGGGGTCAGGAAGCCTATTAGGGTCATCGAAGTCCCCTAAGGGCCTAGACCAACGACTGACTCATCTTACCCAAGATGATAACTTAATGAATAAATCCACAAGGGCCGTGATGAAGGTTCGAACTCACGCCCGGGATGATCCCACACGCTGTCTTCATCGACTGATCCACGACATGGTCATGGTTGCCCTTTGTGGATTTATTCATTTGATGCATCACGCTATTGTGATTTATGTGTGTATGATAACTTACTCCCGGGTGAATATTTATTGCAATAGGTCACCAGAGGCGTCAGGTGACAAAGCTCCGTCCTATCAGGGAATAGTAAGTATTCTGCATTGATTCCAGTGAATAGTGGCCTCGTTGTGGAGTGATTCCAGTGAATAGTGGCCTCGTTGTGGAGTGATTCCAGTGAATAGTGGCCTCGTTGTGGAGTGATTCCAGTGAATAGTGGCCTCGTTGTGGAGTGATTCCAGTGAATAGTGGCCTCGTTGTGGAGTGATTCCAGTGAATAGTGGCCTCGTTGTGGAGTGATTCCAGTGAATAGTGGCCTCGTTGTGGAGTGATTTGAGTAGATTATACAACCATTTATAAAAAAAACTAAGTTTAATAAGAATTTGTCATGTGATCTATGCTGGAGAACCTGGAGTGAAGGACGAGCACCTAGAGACTAACCTTGTGGTGGAGGGTGAGGGCGTCCTGGACGTAGTCGTGGGTGGTGTGGGTGGTCTCCAGCGCCGCCTGTACTCCCAGCTGCACCAGACGGCACCCACACACCACCCACCTGTGGTGCCAGGGTGCCAGGGAGTGAGGGAAGGCGAGGGTTAATGAAGATAATGATAAAGATGCGGTTTAAGGAGAAGGAGGAGGGGGAAAGAAGGAAGGAAGGGAGGAAGACAAAACACGACTGACTGTTTGTCAAGTCACTGATGCTGAAGAAACTAATTCTATGTAACTATAAAATAACTATAAAAATAATTATATATATAACTATAAAATATCTAATTCAAGAGGAATTAGATATTTTTCAGTGACGTTATTATGTAGTCAATAACAAATAACGGCAGATGTAGATTCTTAGAATAATTAGGAAATAAATATAAATACTTGACACTTTTAGGAGAAAAATGCAGATTTACAGAGACTCGGTGAGAGGCAAATTAAGGAAAGTGATTTACAGGTACTCTATTGACAAGTGTCTGGTTCACCTTCTGATCAATCTACGACGTCCTAACTGCTAGTAAAATAACAGTTTCTAAAACATGGAATAATTAGGCTATATCCAAACACCATATTTGTTTCTATTCTTATAAATAAAATCAAGAATAAAAGAGAGCCAGTATACGAACAAGAGAAAATAAATTATATAGACAGTTCGATATATATACATTGTGTACAGAGAACAACGACACAGCTGGTCGCTCGTCGCCATGACAACGGGGACGCTAGCGAGACACGCTCCCCTTACCTGGGCGAAAGCATTTCCTCCATGTTGATACACTCTAATTCCTCGATATAATGATCAATCTCAAAGCGGTGGAGTATGTTAGTCTGGGCGTGAGCCATGTTGGCAGGAGCGGAATGGTTTCAGCGCGTCTGTAACGGCAAGGAAGGTGAGTGAGAGGCGTGTGTTGATAGCAGCGAGGGGTCACTGCGTCGAGGCTCCCGCCATGCTCAGTGCCGGGAACAAAATAACATCGCCGTGGGTGCCAGTCTTAAAATTAATATTAGGGCGCATCCGATCCCACGATCGTCGTCGCCCCTAAATCAACACAACAACAACAAATTAATATTAACAAAGATAAAATAATATATAGCGAAATGAAGAGATTCGTTAATTAACGCTGGGTAGGCTACTATTTTTTTAATAATAATTATTATTATTGTTATTATTATTACTGTAATAATAATATAGGATAAAAACTTGCACTTGTGTATTTGTGAAATTTATGTAAGGAATTTACTCCAAGTCTTTCTCACGCCTGAGTGCTTTATCAAGGTCTGAGTGAGTGATTAGGACGAGACTTACATCTTAACGTCTAATGAGGCTGTTATCCTGGGTCTAGTCTTCTATGAAAGATCCTGGGTTCAATCCTCTATCCAAAAGAAGGATAAGAGGATTGGACCTAGGATAGCAGCCTCATTAGACGTTAAGATGTAAGTGTCTCGTCCTTAACCACACACTCAGACCTTGAAAAAGCACTCAGGCGAGTGAAAAAGACTTGATGTAAATTCCTTATATAAATTTCCCAAATACACAAGTGTGGGTTTTTATCCTATGTTATTATGCCTTTGAGAAGACATTACCATTACTAATAATAATATAAATTCATGAAAATGTGTATACAAGGAACATAAGACTGACGAAAGCGTTTCGGAGAAAACTTAGAATAATTGAGATAGAAGGTATTTCTAGGTATAATGGGGCCAACACTTAATACTAAATGAGAAGTAAGCCAAGATATGCGAGATGTTCACGAAATATAAGAAATGATATATGCAATATAGAGGTTATACTTACTGATTAACATAGACTGGCTTATACTCTGACAACAACATGATATCATCCGTCACCAAATTCTATATAGAGCATTTAGTGAGTTAGTTACATAAATGATGAATACAAATATATTTTCCACTTGGGAAGTACAGTTAAACAACTGTTTAAAACACTGATATATTATCAAACTGGGAGAGGTATCCGGCGGTGCCCGGGTGCCCTCACCTTCCCCCCTCCTCTCCCCCACCCCCTTTTATGTTTCATAATATAATATTAGGGGAAAAAACGGTACAGATTTAAGGATTTGTTTTCCTCTTGACAAAAACTCTTCGGAATTGTCAATCCATATTTCACAATTGAATCTGGAAGAACTTGATGGATGGGGGTGGAAATAATTACTAATATTTCTTAAATCATTTAAATTAGGCCTATCGCGACCTGTCTTGAGCATACACATCTCTCTATGGGAGTCCATTGGAGAGAACTTGTAAACCCTTATTGACCCATATAGTTACCAGATAACACAACAAATCCGTTGTCACAAGGGCCGTGATGAGGATTCGAACCTACGTCTGAGAGCATCCCAGACGCTGCCTTAATCGACTCAGCTACGACATGGTCAAAACAGTTGAAACCAGAAGTTCTACTGAACTTACTTGGATCCTGTAGAATCCTATTTTGTTCATTGATGCATCACGCTATTGTGATTTCTGTGAGTAATGCAGATAACACAATTTGCAAGAGTTAAACCACCTGCTGTAACAAGCTAAGCTTGTTTTAGAAATTATAGATCTCAGATCTTATGGGTTAAATTTTACCACCTGGTTTTACAAACTTGGAGTCTGAGGGTATTCTTTGCCTGGTAGGCTAGGAAAGGTCATCTCCCCAGAGGTTAAGGGCCTGGCCAACTACGTCAAGTCATCATCCAAATGGTGTTCTGTGGCCTCGACAATCACTAAAACAATTTATTCTAAGCCATATTTTGAAAATAATTTCCACAGTTGAATCTTATTTGCCAAAGTGTATATATACACTATTTTTATGACATAAATATTATATGGAGCTATAATTAGCACATGAACTAGGTAACAACTTCTCAAAATGAAACGATACAATATTTCCAGGGGTACCTCAACACTGGAAGGTACGATATTTCCACGGGTATGTCACCACTGGAGGAAAAACTATTGTTTGTCTTCACCTCATTTCAAAATTCATTATTACAACATAACTTCGCACAAAATGCAGTCTCTGCGTGTTCAATTTGTTATCATCTTATCTTAGATAAAAAGGTGATGGGCGAACTCTATTTACTGATAAGTCACTTCTATGTTGACATCAGAGGTGACAAGTTTCATACCGAAAGAGCGGATGCCTCAACGAAACCAAGGTTCTTAAGTGGTTCTTAGGTTCAGGAGGGCCAAGCGACGCTCAACCACATCCACCTTCCTGGGAACTTTGTTACGTGTTCATACAGCGCCACGGGAACTACATCCACTCAACGACACTGACCATCATGGGCTCCAACCAGGTAAGCCAGCATCATGGGCTCCAGTGTTGGAGCCCATGATGGTGACTTTCATAAGCCACCATCATGGGCTCTAACCTGGTATAAGCCACCATCATGGGCTCTAACCTGGTATAAGCCACCATCATGGGCTCTAACCTGGTATAAGCCACCATCATGGGCTCTAACCTGGTATAAGCCACCATCATGGGCTCTAACCTGGTATAAGCCACCATCATGGGCTCTAACCTGGTATAAGCCACCATCATGGACTCTAACCTGGTATAAGCAACCATCATGGGCTCTAACCTGGTATAAGCAACCATCATGGGCTCTAACCTGGTATAAGCCACCATCATGGACTCTAACCTGGTATAAGCCACCATCATGGGCTCCAACCTGGTATAAGCCACCATCTTGGGCTTAGGTCTGTATAATCATTACATAATCTTGAATATAACTTGTCAAATATATGAATATTATTTTAAATATTCATGTGTGTTTAATTTATCATTCATTCATTTTATTTACTTAAATTGTTATTTACTAGGAGCATTCTGGTATATCCCCTAACTGCACAGTGGCCTTACCCTAGATATGATCCAGTGCTGAAAGATACACGAGCCTTGCCAGACTAGGATAGATAACAGGTTGCATCTTGGGGAGAGGTCTGTAGTTCGACATTGGGGAACCTTTATAACCTCAAAGATAGGCTTTCTGTCCTCGGGAATCTAAAATACATGGATAAGTTGTGGCCTCTCATTCGAGTATCATTAAACAGCTGAACAAAAATTGTCGGGCTTAATTTTCGACTCGTTTAGTGAATGAAATGTGTCTGCTGTCATACCTTTTTTTGGAAGATATTAAGGATTAGTCTCCCACCTGTTCTGTTAATCAAAAAGACTAGGGCGACACTATTGCCAGTCTTGAGGTCCATTTTCTTGACCTGAGAATTTTCAGAATGCTAGCAGGAATTGATGCTACTACTTGCAATGCTAGCCTAGTTGTTGTGGAATTTTGGTTTGAGCTGGAACACTTCGGTTACTGCCCCTTTCGAAAGCCCGTAGGCTTTCGGAAATTCAGCAGTTTTCTTGACATTTTCATCCATTACTAGAGTAGTCCTCTGCATGGTTATTGATAGTTATCTTCGCCAAAGCCGTAAATGGCAAGACATTACTGCAATTGAAAATCCAGCTGGAAAAATGGTGGAGACCTTTGACAGGCCACCGGCTTCCTGTCCCCATCGAGGCCCCTAGACAGATGGTGGCCCACTGAAATCAGAAAATCAGAAATATTAAATTTATTTGACACTCAGCATGCTCACTGGGACTAGGATGTCCACGAGATTTTCATGTGCTAACACTGACGACATACTTTTGGCTAACCCTTAAACTGTTCATTTAAATTGTCTCTTAATTTGCTAATTTAAATAAGAATATTTATCCCATATGCTTTTCAATGAAATTGATTATAACTCCAAATAATTATGCCCAACTACTTGGGCTGGACGGTCTCGCTTCATGCAGGTCGGCGTTCAAGTACGTTAATCGAGACAATAAAGTACATCTCAATGGGGATAGAGAAGCTTAGGCTGTTTCTACCCTCCAGCTCTACTTCAAGTCCCTCAAGGGGCGCACAAAATCCAGTGAGTACGAATCCACAAATCACAGTACGAGAATCACATTTAACATTGCAGGTTACCATGGTAAACACAGCATATAAGTGTTACACTTTTGGGGCAAAATGCTTGTAGCTCCTAAGCATTCTGTCTATTTCGGCGTTCAATTCCCGACCGTCCAAGTGGTTGGGCACCATTCCTCCCCCCTCCCCCCTGTCCCACCCCAAATCCTTATCCTGATACCTTTTAGGGGCTATATTGTCGTAATGGCTTGGCGCTTTCTTCCCTGATAGTTCCCTAGTTCCAAACAGTTGTTCTTCTTGATTTCAAGAATGTATAAGTAAAATTTATCTCATCGCCACTATCGCTACCTTTCTAAGCACGGTTAGCAGTACATGTCTCACTGGCCTTCAGTTGTTTGTAAGCGATGCTAGCAGCCAAAGGGGTTATCTTGAGTATACTCCCTATTTACCATCATATACAATTTATACTCCCTATTTACCATCATATTCAATTTATACTCCCTATTTACCATCATATACAATTTATAGAAATTATTGATGAATATAAAGAGCTTATAATTGTATAATTTCATTTATTTTTATATTCAGAATAAAATTTTCCTTTCCACAGTCATCAGCACAAATCTGCATTTGTCAGCCGAGTGGCGACTTGCCTTATGTAAGTATATATATTATTTGTATCTTCTCTCCTACGGGATAGGATAGAGGGGAAAAAATGGTGCCCAACCACTTCCCACTTGGATCATTGAGGATCGAACACCGACCTGCAATAATCGAGGCCGTCACTATACCGATCAGTGTAAGTGATTTGGCAAGGGGGGTCCATGGGACAACTTATGTTATTTATTTATTTATTTATTTATTTATTTATTTATTTATTTATTTATTTATTTATTTATTTATTTGTATATATATTTGTATATATATATATATATATATATATATATATATATATAAATATATATATATATATATATATATATATATATATATATATATATATATATATATATATATATATATATATATACAAGAAGGTACATTGGGTTTATGAGAGTACATAGCATGATGTGTTTACATTCTTGTAAAGCCACTAGTACGCGCAGCGTTTCGGGCAGGTCCTTAGTCTAAACAATTATTTTAAGTAGGTAATTTCTAGCTAAATTTATAAAATGTTAACAGGTGCACTGTAAGAATTTTTTACATAGATTAGTAGGCACATTAAAGCAAATTGATAGCTTTGTTTGATAGCACTGATAACTTGATTGATAATTTGACAAAGATACGTAGGGACGTCAAAGCACATTGATAGCACATATAAGATGATAGCAATGATTACAATGGTAGAGTTGTTTGGCTTAGGGACATATATTGGGGGATTGGGAAGCATACAATATACAATTTGTGTGTGTAAATCACGAAAATTAACAAGTGATGAAAAATGTGACTGTCAGACCACGGAGGAAGAATTGAAACAGGAATTTCCTTAAGTACTTTCGTACTTAATAATACATCTTCAGAATTGTGAGTTACAAGTTCAAAGATTTTGACATATATAGGCAGGAGAGAGGTGAAGTGAAGTCAGGTACAATGATAAAAATATGACTAGAATTGGGTGGGTATAAATAGGAGCTGCATCCTATGGGCCAATAGGCCCATATATGGATATTAATAGCATAAGATAGAGAATGTTAACAATGAATTAGTGAGACAAATGTGTATCAATGATCCTACTCAAATCGCCCTTTAACTGATCAATCAAAAATGAATTTAAATTATATAAACCACTGCTAATGTTCAAATTACATGATTTTGTAATCTGTATTAAAGCAGATTCAATTATGTTCCTATTGAAAGTGGTTTTACAATTCGTTATCGAAGAAGCCATCTCTCAATCAATTTGGTAAGAATTTTCTGACAAATGAACAAACAAAGCATTAGATCATGCTTAGGCCATGTATTACAGAGTACTTATGTTTTGAAATTCTACATTTCAAATCTTTAGATGTTTACCAAACATAGAACCTATTACAGTTTTTACAAAGTATTTTATAAGTGACACAATTATCACTACGAGGGCTGTTTATAACTAATAGTTTACAACAGCATTTTCGTAATTAAACAATTCATGTATATCATAAAGTTTCAAGGCCTTGACCATATTTTCAAACCCAGAAAAATATGGTAAATATAACACATTCTTTGGGCGAATTTTCTCACTGCACATATTATTATAATATGTACGACGTGCTTTGCTACGGCAAACTTCCAAAAAACTCTTGGATAGCAAAGCTTGAGACCATTAGAATCAATATTCTTAAACTCTTCATCTAAGAATTCTGGACTAACAACCCGAAGAGCTCTTAGATACATTAGAGGAAAAAAAAGATTTTTTCACATTGTATCTATGCCCTGAGAAATATTGAACATAAGATAAATTATTGTAGACACTAAACTTTAGTGAAAAATCTTCCCTATGAATAAGTATATCTAAGAATGGCAAACATTTATCAATTTCAGACTTCATAGTAAATTTTATAAAGGTGACTTGATCATTAAGTTTAGCTGCAAATTCGTCTACAATTGTGAGTGTGAGTGCTGAAGTTTAATTTCTTATCTGGGTATGTATATATAATTAGAAGGAGAGCTCTTACCCTACAAGCAAATCAAATGGCTCCTGTTTCTGTTCCCTGTAATGTATAAAGAAAAATGTGTGGTCTTTTAAAATGTCTTGATAGACAAGACACACCAATATTTTGCAGACACGAGAGGGAGAAAGAGAGAGGGGCGGTGAAGAATGTAAAGTGCCTCATGTATAATAATAATAATAATAATAATATTTATTTAGGTAAAGGTACATACATAAAGAGATTTTACAATGTTTGTTGGCTTTATAGATAGAGCTAGTACATACAATGCTTAAAGCCACTATTACGCAAAGCGTTTCGGGCAGGAAAAAACACTAATGACTAAAGCTTAAAACTAATGGGTAAAAAGAACAAAATGTGTTGAGTACAAATAAAAATAGAGGTAAAAGAGGGGGGAACATTGTTGAAAAAGCAGCACAAATACAATTACAAATTATTACAGAAAATTACATTCAAACAGCGTTGATTTGAAAAACAAGAAAAAACAAAAAACATACATGGGTTGACAATAGAGGGGTAAGGTGGGTTACAGGGAATTTATTAGGTATAGCTTCGTTTTTAACTTAAACTGGTTGAGAGAGGTACAGTCTTTAACATGGTTGGGAAGGTCATTCCACATTCTGGGCCCCTTGATTTGTAGAGCATTTCTAGTTTGATTAAGTCGTACTCTAGGAATATCAAAACTGTATTTATTTCTGGTGTGGTGCTCATGGGTTCTGTTACAACCTTCTATGAAGCTTTTGAGGTCAGGATTGGCATTATAGTTTAGCGTCTTATATATGTATAATACGCATGAGAGAATGTGCAGTGACTTAATGTCTAACATATTCAGGGATTTGAGTAGGGGTACCGATTGATGTATGGGGCCAGAATTGGATATTGTCCTAATAGCAGCTTTGTGTTGAGTAATTAGAGGACGTAAGTGATTTTGGGTAGTAGAGCCCCAAGCACAAATACCATAGTTGAGATATGGATAGATAAGGGAGTAATAGAGAGTCACCAGGGCAGGGCGTGGTACATAATATCTGATCTTGGAAAGAATGCCCACAGTTTTTGAAACTTTTTTTGATATGTTTAGAATGTGTCCCTGGAAATTCAGCTTGTGGTCAATGAGAATGCCAAGGAATTTGCCATCTAATTTGTTACAAATTTGGGTATTGTTTATTTTGAGGTTTATTTGATTAGAGGATTTATTGCCAAACAGAATATAGAAAGTTTTGTCAATGTTAAGGGTGAGTTTGTTGGCAGTTAGCCACAGATGGACTTTATTGAGCTCAGTATTTACTGTGGCATTTAGAGCAAGGGGATCAGGACTGGAGTAAATGAAGGTTGTGTCGTCAGCAAATAGAATTGGTTTGAGGTGTTGGGAGGCATTTGGAAGGTCATTAATGTAGATGAGAAAGAGGAGAGGGCCAAGTATGCTGCCCTGTGGAACACCAATGTTGATGGGTAGGGTGGGAGAAATTGTATTATTCACAGAAACACATTGGAGCCTGTCAGTAAGGTAGGATTTGAGGTATTGTAGGGAGTGTCCTCTGACACCATAATGATGTAATTTAAGAAGAAGGTTTTGGTGGTTGACAGTATCGAAAGCTTTACGCATGTATTACTTTATCTTTACAGGAGGTATACGCAGCAGCCATGAACGGTCACCTCAAGCCTGTATCACGCTACCTGAACCAAGGCGGAAAGGTGAACGCCATGTACAAAGGCTGGACTCTGCTGCACACTGCATGCTACCACGGCCGGGACAGGGTGGTGGTCGAGCTGCTGCGGCATTGGGACATCTGTGTGAATCTACGTACTTGTGACAAGAACATGGACACTGCTCTGATAATGGCCGCCAGAATGGGACATTTAGATTGCATTGAAGCGCTCTTCTCGGCCAGTACAAAGGTTAGATTTATCTAATGTAGACTTGTTTTGATCATAACCAGTCAAGGAAGATATTCCCAGAAAGGCAAATCCTTCATGAGGACAAGAAGCCGGCGGCTTCCTGTCCTCATAAAAGTTTCCACCTTCCCCTCTTTGTCATGGTTTTATCCAGTTGGATCTTGAATTACCGCAGTGTGTTGTCATTTATGGCTTCAATGGGTAGGCGGTTCTGATGTTTCCCAGCCTCGCATGCACCGCTGATGATATCCTTTGGTGTAGGCTTCAGGAGACAGGTTCGGTGTAATATCAACTCCTAAATCTTTTTCTTTGTCCGCTTCGTGGCGGACTACTACTCCCATTTAGTACCCTATCTCTCTCTCCTGCTCCCTCCACCTAACTTTATTACCTTACTTACTTACCTGACTTTGTTGCTGTTGATTTTTTCCTTTCACAGTGCATTCGCAAATGCTCTAACCTTTCTAACAAACGTGACCTGACATAAGCCTACCCCACTTTTTTTCTCTTTTTTTTCTCTTTCTCCTCTTATTCTTACTTTCCCATTTTTCAGTTATTACACCCATCCTATCTGTACCTTTCTTCTTGTTCTTACCTTTCGCATTCTAGCGCTAAAGAAGTCATTACCCTTCTCCCAAGGATTACGCCTTAAAAGAATAAACAGCAAGGACGAAACCCTCTACCCTCAGCTAGACGACCTGTGGAAGATATTTAGGCGCAGAGGTTACCCTGAGGAAATACTGAATAACGCCCAAGAGATACTACGCGGGAAGACCAGAGAACAACAGTAGGGCAGCTGGTGCGCGCGGTTCTAGTCACACTTTACCCTACTAACAACTTCTCAGGCTCCCGGCCCCACGTTTGGAGGATAGGATATGGATCCTCCCTACCATGTTCTCTCCTGGTTTTGCGGGGAAAGTAAAACAAACTCTCAGACGTATAGACCTGAATGAGGGAGACATACAGTGACTACCCTTCTTGGTAGAATTTCCCGCAAGATCCACCAATGATTGCGTGGAGGCGAGGTAAGTCCATCAAGGACCACCTCGTCCGAGCAGGTCTACAATCCGGCACCCACGACCCGACAAGGGAGGAAGACAACCATGCCGAAGAAACCCGTCGAAACCCTCCAGCGCAGACCTAACCTGACACAGGAGCCTGCACAACACACCAAGGTAACCGAAGTATGTGGAGTGGTTTGGAGGGTCCTACATGCAAAAAAATCCTCTCTTCAAGAAAGAATATCACAAAGAACAGCTATGATTATCAGTATGATAATTATTTTCCCCTCATCCAGTCCCAGTACGGCAGCCTTGGTGGTTGGACTTGGCCAAAACAACGGAAACTCTTGGGCTGCCAGAGCGGGAAATGTCCTAAACAGACTACAATTAAAAAGCATGATTCTTCAAATAAAATAAAATCGAATCAAATCAAATCAAATGTTTATTCAGATAAAAGTGCATACATAGAAGAGTTACAAAGATAATGTTGGATTTATAGATAGAGTAACTACATACAATACCTAAAGCCACTAATACGCACAGCGTTTCGGGTAAGGTGTGGGGAAAAAAAACACTTAGGCTAAAACTTAGTACTAATTAAGATTAAAGTATAAATTGTGTTGAAAAAGGAAAAAGGGGGGGGGACATGGCAGAAATCAGCAATTATACAAGTTGGTCATGTTACGGCCCTCTCGGGACGCAACAGGGTTCTCACTCTGATGTAGTTAGAGGAAGATATATATCCGGCCCCAAGCCAGTAGATGCTATCAAGGGATGCGATCCGTGACGCAAGTAACTTAAAGGGAGTAGGGAAAGAAAGGTAAGAACTTAATATAATATAATATAACCTTCACCATTTAAATATATAAAAGTAAAACGTACACAAGGGGGAGGGGTATTAACACTTTACAAAGGGGGTCAACACTGTAGTCTTCTGCTGGAGACTATGGATCCTTGAAGCTAGGTGCTGAGTCCGCGGTGCTTTCTTCGTGGCCTCAAGACGTGTCCTCTGAGAACGCCGAGTCTACCCTGGCCACAGGTCAGCCACAACACAGGTCCACTGGGGGCACCGTCGTGGAGGCCGTCAACCACACGTCCAGCAGGTCTGCTGGCAGGTACTGAGCCACCAAGGCTGGTACGGCCACTCCACGAACGATAAAAGGGGTACGCCCTAGACAGGAGTCTCGTGTGATATCACCAATCACCCTCCTGTCCTCAATACCCCAGTGGATTATCGTCTCCAACCGTCGGTCCCGGGTAAATCCTTCCACTGCCACTCCACTGACAGGCTTAACACACCACAGTGTTCTTCCGGGGGGACGACGCCACAACAGCTGCAGCAAACTTCACAGTATGGAGACTGGCTGCCTCGGGTAGACTGACTACACCTTCAACACAGTGGTCCCAGGTCGGCTCTGTAAGCAGACACGTCATTAATAACCGGGACACTAATACACCACACTCACAGGCTCAGATACAAACGCCCGACATATCCACTCCATAGATGGCGCTGTCGTCGGAGCACCACTTCACCAGAGGTCAGGAGCGGCGGTGTTGAGCGCTGAACCAGACTGGAAACTGGTCCTTGAGGCCAGTACACGCTGTCCTCACTAGGTGTCGTCGTTCGTTTGGCGGGGGTTTCGGGAGCTGACCCACAGATGGCGTGTTTGTCACTGCTCCAGGCTCGGACGTTGAATCCGGGTTCGTAACAGGTCAACAAACAGTATCGTTTGAATGTAGAAAGACATGGGTTGACATTAAGGGGGTTAAGGTAGGTTACCTGGAGTTTATAAGGTAGTACTTAGTTCTTAATCTTAATAGAGAGGGTGATCATCCACACCCAAACTACACTTGTTCCCCAACGTGGGAGGAGCCTACCTTCAAAATAATAATAGAAAGTCTTCCGATTAAAAAAAGTGCCTATGATCCAACAATCCTAAAGCGCATCATATAAAAGCAAATGTGCAGCATTGCAATAGCAGGAGTCACCCACATCTTCACAGACGGATCGGTTGACACAGAATATGAGAATGCTGGCGCTGCTCTTTACACGGACAGCGAACAGACATATTGAAGACTGGGAGGACCAGTATCATCAACCCAAATTGAGCTGTTTGCCATACAACAGGCATTCGCATCATATGTGATTGCACAACTCAAAATGCAATCATACACACAGACTCAAAAGCTGCACTTCAAATTTTAGGGGAAAAAAGCAGTGGAAAGACAACGTTGAAATAATTACCACCATTTTGTATCTTGGAGCAGTAGCTAAAGGCAAAGGACTCAACATCACTCTAAACTGGATCTTATTCCATGATGGAATCCCATTAAATGAGAAAGCCGATGAAATTGCTAAATTGGCAACTCGTCATCCAGTGATACATAAAACAATCCAACCCAGCCTAGAGTACATAAAAAACACCATCACTAAAAAACACTCACACCTCAACAAAGCCTATCTACACCAGAGAGTAGCAGAAGGTTCGCCCTCTGCAATATGGTATCTTCAGGCCACCAAGTCAGAAAGGTGAAATATCCCAAAAGATTCCACAGGGAAATAGCAGTTCTGTTAGTTAGACTACGTCTAGGTTATAGATGCAACTGGGAGATTGGTGAAGCCAGACAGAAAGAATGCATCTTTTGCCAAACAGTCACAGAAAAGTCACTACTTCATTATCTCCTGGAATGTGAAGCAATCAACGACCTGAGAAGAGCTTTAAGAGTCCCTGAATCTTGCAGTAACCACCCTGAAGCCATCAACACTGCCACTCTTCTGATAAAAAAAGGTGTCCAGCAGCTGGACACCCTCATAAAGACTGTCAAGCAGTATCTTCCCCCGCAATAGTAGCCTGACGATTACATGGGACCTTAGCACACTGTATACATTTACTAAACAAAAATTTTACCACTTACAAGCTATTCATGCCCGTGCCACCTCTTGAGTGGCTTAATCTTCATCAATCAATCAATACCTCCTCTTACCCGCTCCTAGCTCACCTCACTCTTACCTGACTTAATGACAGTGCCTTCCTCGCTCCCTCCTTCACCACCTTAGCCGCGGCTAACCAGGCTGCCATACATGCCCAACAGTTTCTATCATGCCTGAGGATTCTCGATTGATAGTTGAGGACATAGACCACTGTATTACTGGATCCTATTAAACAATGGGTATCAGTGGAGCTACATTGAAAAATAATGAATATCTAGGTCTATTTCTGGTAAGACTCGTGTTTAAATTTTAATTTAAATTATATCATCTTCTAGACTGAGTACTGAGAAAAATATTAAAACATAAATGTTGGTATTGAGCTGCATTGTTTTACGATCTTACAGAGAAGTGTTGCAATTGCCCGAAACGCTGCGCGTACTAGTGGCTTTACAAGATTGTAAATACTATGCTATGTATTCTCTCTAACCCAATGTACCTTCTTGTATATAAATAAATAAAATAAAATAAAATAAAATAAAATAAAAATTGTGAAATCAATATTTCAAGATATCACATAGGAAAATGTATTTGCAACTGGGTCATATTGTTCCATTTCTACAGCACTTAAATATTTAAGGATTAGACTAGACATTTTTATGGCTTAAATTGAAATTCAAGTCACTGTGATGAGACGTTCTCAAAATATTGGGTAGAAGTCTTAAGATATAAAACCCCTTCTGAAAGAAGAAAATATGACAAAATTTTTAAGTACTACAGGGGTTACATAAATACTGTACTTGTGTATGTGTGAATATTGTAGTTAAAACTTAATTTTTGTTCTGCATTAGATGGGGGTTTTTGCTTCAGATGTTCTGCACCACGGATGGTGTTAAATAGTCTTCAAGGTGTAGTACTTTCTTTTGGTAATTAGTCATTCCATCTTGAAGAAAATAGGCTCTGCACTACTAAAAACAAAAGAAATATATAATAGATTATGGTTATATTAAGCCATCACATTTACTTGTCCCCCTAAGATAAGATCATTAAGTCAGTCAAGACAACATTCTTCACTAGAGATGCAGGGAATTTTCAATCCTACCTGTGGTATCATAATAGGTGCTAGGGTCACTGTCTAGCCCAGAATGATTCAAATATATGTATTCCTAAAGCCTCAAACTCTTGGTGTTTGTCCTCTCTTGGCATTACAAGTACAGTACTGTAACTGCCAACAGAGGGCTCTTGCCAATTGTGCACTTCAAGTATTTCCATTTGTGTCCACTAGATAAAGATGGCAATATCTCTCACAGTGTCCACTAGATAAAGATGGCAAGAACAGTTATGGCCAAACAGCTCGTGATGACGCGTGTGTACATAATAAGCAAGACGTGATTTTCTACCTTTTGGCCGTCAGGGTAGGAATACTGTACACTTGTAATTGTTTAGTTGCATTTGCCGTTTTGAATATTCATGTGACATGCTTCTCTTTATGCAACAAAGATCAATGATTACTGATCTATTGAATGCGGTATAGCCACATATGCTATGTGAATATGTGGGTCATACTATGGCCAGGTCATATGTGGCTATACCGCATTCAATAGATATGTGGCTATATACTATGGTCATATGTGGCTATACCGCATTCAATAGATATGTGGCTATATACTATGGTCATAGTATGGCCTATGACCTAACAAGGGTTGTGCTTTCAACCCTTGTTAGGTCATAGTCAACAGCTTGACTAGCAAAAACCGAAGAGAATTAATTTTAAAGGAGGAATGCACAGGAATGGAATGATGGAATGTCAACATCGGATAGAAGCAGCCATGTTTCAGGTAAACACTCAGAGCGCTGATTGGAATCATATGGATTATTTCCTTTAAAACTGCTTCTCTTCTGTCTCTGCCAGTCAAGCTGTTGACGATCTGGCAAGGGTCGAAAGAGCTCCAGCTATTATTTCTTATTTCATACATGGTTATACTGCTTGCTTCTCCATGTATGAGGAACTCTTATAGGGCTTGTGCTTGAATGGAGGACATCTTGTGCTTGTTAACCAAATATTCTTGCACGAAATACAAAATGTAATACTGTACTTGTCCTTTGTAAATTAAGTCACACTATTAGCTACTATGTGTCCTTTGAAGTTGAACAAAAAGTTCATGCATTTTGTCATTGGTGTTTTTGCTCTTGTCCCTTATTAAAGTGTTTTATGTACCAATCAGCTATATCACATGTGCTTCCTTGCCTTTCTGAACTATAATATTATATTTCATTTAATGTATTACCCCAGGCAGCATGTTCAGTGCACACACTAGAGTATAATTTTTACATTTTTATCATTTTCATTTACATTTCTATCATTTTCAGTGCATTTTTTCTTCCTAAATGCCAGATTTTCCACAAGGCAAATCCTACTCAAAATCGATTTCTTTTGCACTGAAGACAAAAATTACCTGCAGACTTTTCTTGCGAATACAGATCTTAGAAGACAATGAAACATTGTAGAGCATCATTAGTGGCATATTATTGTTTATTACAAGATATTCTGTACCTGCTAACTACTGTAATGTATTTCTTTGTATGTCTTTCATCACTATTATAAGAAAAAAAAAAAAAACGTGCTATTTCATGTCCAATACTTTTGTCTGTTGATTTATGGCTTTCTTGTTGCCTCCACTTGGCAAGTGGACTTATTGTTGTACAAGTATAATTATTTAATCTACTAATGCCATTTCCACCATTCCAGCAAACATAACACCTGCATCTCAAGAAACAAAGCTATATTTAGGAATAGAGAAAAATGGACAATGCAAGATCATCATTTCTTCATAGTCTTATCCCCATAAATGCATCACGTCACTCAAACCTGTGTAAAACAAATAGGCATGTATAGCACTACACTGTAGTGTTCACATAATGCTTATTATAGATAAGCACATCATCAGCCCATGTGTTAGTTTAACACCATATGGCATGCGAGTGTAACTCTTTTTATAATAAATATTTGTGTACAGTACATTGATATATAATTATATATAAAATCACAATACTTATATTTTAATCTCTCTTCCATATGTTTTGAATGCTCGATTTTCCAATTTGATAACCCAGTGGGTACAATATCCAAGATCATGTTTTAGATTTAGCTACTCGGAACTAAAATTTCCATGTAGCATGGGCAATGGTGAGCCCGTAAAATATCTAAGAGTAATGTTAATTCAAACCTAAATCAGCATTTGCATTCCCGTTAATAAAACATCGATTAAAAATTGAACTACGTTAGCCATAGTATGTGCCCACTGGGAAAATGTACTATACAGTATTAGTAATACTGTAAATCATTATATTTAACAGAAACCTACCTTTGATACACTTGTGTGTATGCTTTTATTAATAAAAGATGATTTGATTTCCAGTGAATAAACAACCTTATTCTGAACCATGAGAACATCATAAAACTAACATACATCATACATTACTATCGAACTTGTAACACAAATAACCCACATACCATTACAATTGCTATACTCAGAACATAAGAAATTCTTTGGAGCATTTAAGAGAACTAATTTAAATGCTAAGGTTACTATTGATCCATTTAGTAATGTAATTGAAAAGCAAGGTAAATAAAAAGCATAGATTAAGAGTCCATTTCTATTTATTAATCCAACAAATGAAAAAGGACAAATCACATAGATAGCAAGTAAGAAACTTAAAAGTATCTTCAAAGTCATGATGCCACACCACAGAAAACACCCCATACATGTATAGTGCTGTGTCAGTATCGCTGGTTACATTTTGTCATCAAAGGAACCTTCATTTATATAATCGTTCCTCATTTGATATATTGTTGCTAATATTAGGATTTTCAAGCATTTCTTTGAATTTAAACATTCAGCATTAACAAAATGCTGAACTGGGAAGTGCCGAGCAATTACAGTAAAGAAAGCAAGATTATTGCCGTGTGAATTAAACGGGAAAATTTGGCACATCATTTATAATGGGCAAATTCCTTATATCCAAACTGGTAAAGAGAAAAATTATAATTTACGAATCTTAAGCGATACAATATTCCTCTAGGAAATCTTTATTGGTGGACATATCAATGACAACACATTAATTTTATGATGATTAATGGCAAAAATATAATTTAGTCTTATTAAATAAACTCATGTTTTCAAATACTGGTATGTAATACACTGTACTGTAATTTATTTCAAATAAAAACTAAATAAAAATAAATTTAGATGTTTTTAACATACTGTGGGAAAAAAGAAAAAGCTTCCAGTGTCATATGTAACAAATCTAAATGGAAATTGCAAGATATTTCGGGAAGGAAAACGTTTTATGTCGGGTACAGCACAGAATGTTCACCATGAGACCCAACAGATTACACACATGCTGCTGAACCTCACAAAGGTGTTCTGTAAGGTATATGCCATTTATGATGGGTTATCACAAAAGAGGATTTGAGCCGGGTGCTTCTTAAGCAAGAGCACAGTGCACTTGAACCACTGCATAGCTTGGCAATAATCAACGACAGCATTCCAAACTGGAAAATAATCTCTCTCTCTCTCCTCTTGATGGTTTCCCCACTGCCACTCAGGAGCTCTAGAAGCCAGCGGGTATCAGGCAACCTGATTACATCGGGCACTCTACATGGGAGCGCATGTAGAACAGCAGTGCTTGCATTCTGCTTCATATGATCACATGCCTGTACATGTAGACCTGGCTCTTACATGCATGTAGTTGGTTGCCAGTGCACACGAGGCCAATGATGCGCACACAGGGCCAATGACGTGCACACGGGGCCATTTAGGGGAAGGATGGGCCCTTTCGATGCACAGCTGGAAGGGATGATGGGTGATGGCCGATCAGGAGCAAACCTGCAAATTTTACGTGAATTAGCATGTGTTTATTAATAAAAAAAATCGTACTGAGTGGAGAAAATTTAAAAATATTTTGAGCCTTTATACATATAGTTTGTACACACATAAGCAGGTACAGTATGGGAGAAATACTGTATAGTATTTATAGCCTATTGCTTGTATGAAGCAAATAGGGCAGGTTAAGAAGCACTCAGGCTTGTAATTTCACCTGACTCTCTCCACCAGTAGGAGGAAATAAAGATGTTGGCAAACACTACCTCCACTTCACCTCAGCTAGCCAACCCACCTACGCTTTCCCGACCTTACCCGAGAACACACCTGGGGAAGCTGCTGCTACCTCACTACTGCCTGGTCCCTGGCCTCTGCAGCTCTCACTACCACTAACCAAGCCTGCAGTTATCACCACCAACACCCTGCTACCGGTACTTCTACACCTTGCTGACAAATTGGCAGGCAACAACTTCAACCTATATGTCCACATCATCAACTGGCTGCTCCCTGTAAATGGACTACCGACGGTGACGGTACCAAGTGACCTTCTCCCAGCACCTCCAGTTGCTGCCGGCCCAGCATCCGACCCCCGTAACAGGCCCGGCATCCAACCCCGCAACAGGCCCCATAACACTCCGGTAACAGGGACGCCACCCATCCTGGCTGCCCGTGCCAACGAAGACATCACATCCGAAGATGACGACGGACCCAGAATTCCACCGCAAATTCCCAGACGGACAATGCAATTCCTCGAAAAAGATGACGATCCTGATGGTACCAAACTGCCGAGGTTGTTCTGTTCAGGTATAAAACATTGCCTTGCACATTAAACTGCAACCTGGCGACCAAGCTTCCTGCGTTCTATGAACTGCGAGCTACCATGAAGACCCCATCCATCCATCAACAGATTGCCAGTATCAGCAATTGGTACTGTATTGGTAATGGCTGCAAAGAGCCTCCATTTACAGGCTATTCATGCCTGTGCCACCTTTTGGGTGGCTTAATCTTCATCAGTCAATATGAGGATTGGCCCATTAAAGCAGTAGTTGGGGGCCAGTGTTGAAGCCCCAAACAACTAGGAGAGAGCTGGCCTATATTAAGTACAGTAATACTGACAGTTATTTGAGGATAAATGTATTCCGAGGAACCATGTGTGAGGTGGGGCCCTTGAGCTGAATTCAGGGAAAAGGTATATGTATAGAAATTCCATGACTAACTGGAATTTGTCAGCACGCAGTGGTCTGTGCAGACTCGCAGGGCTACAGTAACCAAGAGGATGCGTGTGACGACGACGGAGGTTGGTGAAAACTAAGGTTATCTCGAGATGATTTCGAGCTTAGCGTCCCGCAGCCCGATCCCCGACCAGGCCTCCTTTTTGTTACACACCCCCAGGAAGCAGCCTGTAGCAGTTGTCTAACTCCCAGGTACCTATCTACTGCTAGGCAAGAGGAATTGGAGGGCCAGCACCGGGAGTTGTTGCCAAAAGTCTCCAGTGGAATACTATATTTAAGAAATTAAACTAGGGTACACATTTTGTTATTGTAACACTGTCATTATATTTGGAGTGATAAACAGAGTTTAATGAGACAATTCTGAAGACATTCCACAAGCATGGGAGCCGGTCGGCCGAGCGGACAGCACGCTGGACCCTGGGATCCTGGGTTCGATCCCAGGCGCCGGCAAGAAACAATGGCAGAGTTTCTTTCACCCTATGCCCCTGTTACCTAGCAGTAAAATAGGTACCTGGGTGTTAGTCAGCTGTCACGGGCTGCTTCCTGGGGGTGGAGGCCTGGTCGAGGACCGGGCCGCGGGGACACTAAAAATCCCCGAAATCATCTCAAAATCTCAAGATAGCCTATGGTTTACAGCTAATTTGCTCAGGTAGCAGAGCAGCAATAGTCCAGAGGCTACCAGGGGTTGTTAAGGAAGATTTTTGCCATATTACTTTTTCTTGCACAGATGTACCCATTGTTATGGTTGACATCGTCTGACATGCCTCTTCCCATACATCAAGAGCCATACTCGGTCTGTACATAGTTAGAAATATCCAAGATTTTTTATTACATTCAGAGGGAGGCAAAGCCTAGCCTTTTGGACAAAGATGGTGGATAACCCCAGATCAAGGAGCGATTTTCCCTCAGAATTGCTCAGAGGCAGTGACACCAAAATTCCTGGATGAAAGAGATGATTGGTCACATGTTGGTGGGCGTGACCAGTGAGGAAGCGACATGAGGTCATGTGACCTCATGTTGCCCTTTCTTATCATGACGTTCTTGACACTATTTATAGTAAGAATAAAACAGTCAACAACTTGCCTTGTTTCATATCTCTCACTTCAGCTATGTCCTTTGGTAGATGTTTGCCATTTGCGCATAAATTCCTCAATGTGCTCCAATACTGCGCCTGAAAAGTAGACAAAAATCAAATATACATAGATATACTGTATTTGCAATTTCATTTGTATTTGCAGTTGTTTTTAACCTCATATAGTGCTTTGGTAAACACACGAACAGCATGCAAAACGCTTATTTATAAACTCCAGAGTTCTAGGCCGTATACAAATTCCAGCAACTAAGAAGAAAAAAGTGGTCTTGTGTATTCTTTCCCTCTTAATACATCACCTGCAGAGGCAGACAATAACCTACAATTAAACCCAAGCATAAAACGGTTATCATGACTTGTCATATACTACTGGATACTAGATAACATTCAGTCAAGAGCTTTATTTTGATACA